GTTAGCTATGTTTGTTTCTCTGGATTCTTTTCTTTCTGTTTTCTACAGTACAGTAATACTCAGTGTGCCGTGTATCCGGAGAGTATTCATAGCGCTTGACTTTTTCTACATTTTTTTTATGTTACAGCCTTCTTTCAAAATGGATTCAATTTATTTATTTCCTCCACATTCCTCACAAAATACCCCATAAGGACAATTATTTAATGTAATTAAATTTTATTTAATATACAATCAAATATAATATTATGATAATGTAATGTAATAATAAATAATAATAATTTTATTACAAAATAAAATAATCATCATGGAGCAGTTTAGCAGTCAGATTTATAAACAAAATATGTGTTCTTTTCTAGTTGTAAATTCATTTTACAAAATTTACTTAGAAATTATTTTTATTTAATATGTCGAAAAGAAGATTAAGTGATATAAAAAACAGCAGTATAAATAAATATGTTGTCACAGTGGCGCAGTGGGTAGCATGATTGCATCACAGCAAGAATGTCGCTGGTTTGAGCCCCGGCTGAGTCAGTTGGGATTTCTGTGTGGAGTTTAAATGTTCTCCTCATGTTCGTATGGGTTTCCTCTTGGTGCTTCGGTTTCCCTCACTGTCCAAAGACATGCGCTACAGGTGATTTAAATATGGATGTTTCCCAGTGATTGGTTGTGGTTGGAAGGGCATCTGCTGCGTATAAATATGCTGGATAAGTTGCCGGTTTATTCCGGTGTGAAGACCCCTGATTAATAAAGTGACTAGGGTGAAAAGAAAATTAGTGAGTGAATGAAGAAATAAATATTAAATGCAAGTAGAAAGGGTGCATTTAGGATTTGGGCCCTTTGGCTGGAATTGCTTAAGGCCCCACACTATATCAGCTCCTGATAGAACATTACAGTACAGCTACACATTTATTTCCATTTCCCCTGTCAGTAATATCAAAAATGAAAAACTATACTATACCAGTTTTTTTGGTAGGTTATCTGGCACAACAAAAGAGTACCAAGGGTGGAGCTAGACTAGCTGCTAAATGCTATTCATTTACAGACAATCGACATTTGTTTATGCAACGAGACACGAGGCATGACTGCATGGGAAGCTCTATATGAAATTCACAGGGAAACAATACACTGCTATACTACAATGAGTAATGAAAGTGCAGTCATAAACCATGCTCAACCCATTTTTAAACTAAGCTAGCTACTTACTTCTTGAGACAAAAGAACACATGTTAAGAAGCAAGAACGTGATCTTCTGTTTGTCCCCTATTGTTGTTTACAGAACTGGTCAAATGTTGTATCTAAACGTATAGAAAGCATCACTTCTCTTCTCTTTTTACGCATACTTGTCACACATCTACCTTTGAAATATGAAAATGAATATGAGTGTAGGCCTGTCACGATGTCTGTTGTTTGTTTTACGATATATTTCACCAAATTGTAATATTTCATTGTAGTTATTTTAACAATTCATTAATCAGGCATTAAAATTAGAATGTGAAAACGGTTATAATCTAAAAAAATAATAAATAAATAATAACAATAAAGTGCAACAGAGGCTGCGATATCTGTTACCAGATCTATTTTCAGTTTCCGGAGACCCACAGGAAAATATATTAAAGTAATTTTTAGTAAATACTGTGGTGTTTTTAACCATACTGACACCTCCAGTAGAGATAGAAATGCTGCACAATCAGCTAAAATGTTGCTATAATTATTATTTTTTAAGTATGGCCAGTGTATGTATTGCATCACCTAAAATGATTAAGGTCATGTCCAAGTATTGTGCGATAAGTCAATATATTGATTGTTGTGACAGGCCTACTTGAGTGTGCAAAAGACATGATATGTCAATGACCCATATGGTTGGCTTCCTTGAGTGAGTATGACGATGATCTATATATTTTTTGCATACACCACACCTGCCCGGTAAGAATTCTGTTTGCAGGGGAAATTCAAACCTTGTCAGGGTGATGTGTACTGTAATGTGCTAAACCATACCACTCCATGGAAATGAGGGATACTCTAAGTTGCCTTTTAATATTCAGTGTATGAACTGTAAGAGTAATGACATGATGACAGAATAATAATAATGATGACATGTCATTGCACCCATTTATTTATAAACACTTCACTAATTCTTTACAGCTTCAATATGTTCAACATAATTCAAGCAACATATCATGGGGCATACAGTAGTAAAACAGTGGATAGAAATACTAAAGAAAACTCATTGGTGCTGTCTCTTAAAGGCCCACATGCAGTCAGGGATGGTGCCCCCTCATCATGGGAATCCTTCACACCCCCCCACTATGATGTTGATGGCCACTCAGGCTCCTGCAGGCCCCCAGCCTGCGCTGCCACAGGGCACCCTCAACCCCATCCCAGTGTCCTCAGGCACACACTTCTACTCCACACTCACCCCTGGTAAGACCTCAGTTCATTTCCACAAACAGAATTCACCTTAACAAAGTAAATTATATAAAATGAAATGCTTTTTAACAGCTTATTCATCTTAGATCACAATCAAAGAGCAAGAACTTACGATATTGTGTTTAAAATATCGCTATTTACTGCTGAAGAAAGTCAGTATCATTTGCACTGGTTCTTTCCATGACAAAAACAGCCCACATGTCAAATTGCAATGGTCACTTGTGTTATATTACCCATAATCAAAATTTATATTACCTACAATTTTTTCTAAGTATCTGTCTAGTGGTGTAACATCACAAATCTCACTGTTCGGATAACATTATGGTGTTTTAGTCACAGATTAGATCAGCCGAAATGTGATGGAGACAAATGTGATTTGCTTTCAATTTATTACAAAAACAGTACCGCAAGACACTAGGTTTTAACAAGCAAAACTGAGAACCTGTAATTGTATTAAAAATAAAAGAAATAATCTGCTGAATAAAAAATAAATAGTAAAATATTAAGTACTATGAAAATTTTACTATTATAACTACTGTTGCTGACAACTTTAAATCTATAAAGTGTATATTTAGCATAAAATGTATATTAAAGTGTATATTTAGTTTCATTTCAATAAATGATTCAGTTATTCACTCATAAAACTTTGTTTTATTGCTAGATGTGTCATTTTTGAAGAATTATTCAATGGCATATTTTTGATGGCTGGTTGTCGCCACCTATTGGTGAAATAATGTAATTGCTGCCTAAAGCTTTCATTTTTGAGCGTCGTTAAATGCAATGACGGTGATTTCAATCTTTTTTTTAATCTAAACTATAAACTGTTATCCTAGTACTGCTGCGTTATTTGACTGTTTGTAATTTCATAACTTACTCAAAAGAATAAAGACAGAATCTTTTAGGATGAATAAACGTATGCAAATCACCATCATTTATACTTTGTTGCGTGGGTGTTGAGATCCTGATCTTTAATAAATTGATCGTACAGCTTTCACTAAATGTATTAATGCAGGCTAAACAAGTAGTGACAAAAAACACCTTTAATGAAACCCACTACCACATCCCAAATAGCCTACCACAACTTCTTCCATCATCATTATGTTTTACAGGAATGCTTAAATGCTTTCATACATGTGATTTGAATTACGCGAGAGACCTCTTCTCTGATCTCTGTGATCGTTTCAAATTTAGGACTAATCTACTAGTAAAAAAAAGTATTTATCTGTGGGCTACGTGTGTTCCGAACCGTGGGTTGTGATCCATATGAATCAAAGATCAATTGTGATCCGTTACAGCCCTATTATCTGTCAGTGAAAATCTTCATAAACAATGGCCATTAAGCAGTGAACTTGATGAACGTACCATACAAAATACAGGAAAACATTTCTGTGGGAGTTCATACATGTAAAAATGTTCTTCATACAATGAATTTTTGTTACTATGGCTACTTAAAGCTTCCTGCTTTTTGCAATTTTATTCCAAGGTATAATATAATGAATGAAATGTAAAAATATGCATTTTTGTGCAAGTCCAAAACATGCAGAAATATGAGCCATTTTGACTACTGTCAATTCCTGTCATTTGTTTGAAGGTTTTATCAAGTGCATAATAATCGTTCTGTGTATTTGTTCAGTGCAAGCTCACCATCAGCAGCAGCTGTAGAGGATGAAGATCAGAGAACAGGAGGGGAGGGTCTCCTGATCCTTGCAGAGCCACCCAAACATCACCTTTTTTTCTCCAAACACCCCCTAAACGAGGCCATCAGAACCTCAGTCATGCTGCTCTACTGCAACCCAACACCAGTGATTCAGAAACTCTAACAGGCAAAGATGTGGTGAAGCGTGGCTTTTTTTTTTTTTTAAAGAAAACAAGAGTTTTAACGAGGAATCATTTTTCACATGTTTCAGTGACACTAGAACTCTTGCAGCGGGGTCCTAACAATAACAAAAAGCCCAGATGAGTGAGAAAACTGTGCATAAATAACTGGAACGTTTTGTCTGCATCTTCTAAGTTAAAGATAATTCTTCCTTATATTGACAGTATTAACGTTACTGTTAAATGCTGCTGCTATAAGCTGTGCTCAAGACCATGGGGTAAATCAACACCAACAACAACGAGAGATGGTTCTTCTAACCAAACTAAACTCAAGAAACTTCCAATAAAGATGATGTTCGGCAAAAAAAAGACAAAAACAATGCAGATAAATTATTTATTAATTTAATCTGATGGCAAAACCCCATTAGACTTGACCGTTATAAGAACTGTTAAGTTAAAATAACTTTTACTTTGTAGATAATATAAATGAATTAAAAAAAATTAAAAACATTAAAAAAAGTTTTAAAAACTTTACATGCCTTGGCTGTTTTATTCTCTTACATTGTGTTACTTTATTGGCATATTCTGTGTATGTGTGTGCTCTCATTTGCCCTGGTCTCATGTTTGTACTTGATTTTTAAATGTTGGTAATGTGCCTGTTTTTTTGCAAGTGTGTGGGAAAGGTGTCGCGTGCGCTTCCGCTCCGGGCCGCCAGGAGAATCGCTGAGTTTGTCGGCTTCACTGATGCAGACGTCAGAATTCTGCACTCTTCCGGTTGAAACATGTGGAAGGGCTGGAAATAATATCGCCTTGTGAAAAAATTGGCAAAAAGGAGAAAACTTTTGAAATTTAGGAAACACCGACTGTGCCACTATGGGCAAATTAAACGTGGTAATCCTGAGGTATCTGTCTAGAGATGATTTTAGAGTGCTGACAGCGGTACGTATCCATTTCATAAAACCGTCTATTTGTTTACTAGACTTTTCATCCAGCTTTAATGTAACAACATTTCGACTAGCTCACAGTCTTTATAGAACATAAGCAATATTAACATTAAACTGCCAACCGAGTGACAGTTTTATCAGTGCAGTTTCGTTGTTCTTGTTAAATCATTGTTAATTATACTGTAATAATTGTGTATACATACGTTTCATACTATAAATGTTTACGTTATATATAAAATGTCTTTTTACTTAAGTTAAAACATTAGAATTTTGTCTCAAATTTGGTATAAATGTCTGACAACATTGTACTGTTTTGTGCGTTTGTCTTTGTATGTATATGTATACAGTGTATATACACAATGAGGTTAAGTTGATTTTATATTCGCACATTCAGACTTTTTTCTTAATAATATTATTTCAGAAAAATATTCATTGCTTATTCTAAATAGTGAAATCATATTAGCAGCCAATTACTATCAAATTAAAACATTGTTCACAGTCAAACAAATAGTGCTATTGTCGTTTTGAAGTCATACTTGCATGCGAATTCAGTCCAGATATTCAATGTACCATATTAAACAATGTATGGAGCTGTGACTGAATGTGCGAATATAAAACAAACTTTACCTAAATTATATATACTCACCGGCCACTATATTAGGTACACTTTACTAGTACCGAGTTGGACCCTTTTTGCCTTCAGAACTGCCTTAATACAACAAGGTACTGAAAATATGCGCCTACAGAACTGCCGCTCACTTGATATTTTCTCTTTTTCAAACCATTCCACGTAAACCCTAGAGATGGTTGTGCATAAAAATCCCAGTAGATCAGCTGGCACCAACAATCATGGCATGTTCAAAGTCACTTAAATCACCCTTCTTCCACATTCTGATGCTCTGTTTGAATTGCAGCAGATCGTTTTGACTATGTCTGAATGCTTAAACATGCATTGAGTTGCTGCAGTGATTGGCTAATTAAAGATGTGCGTTAAGGAGTAGTTGGACAGGTGTACCAAACAAGTGACCAGTGAGTGTATATGAATATACACTGTAGAGAACATTTGAAGATGATCAAAGTTTTCACAAGACAACAATGGGTGTTGTTAAATAAGTTTAGGGCAACTTTGAACGCTTTTTATCACACTTCTAATGTTGACTGCTGTATATATGTAATGAACTTTTATTAATATAAATTTTCTCCTGTGATGTGCAGGTGGAAATGGGCATGAAGAACCATGAAATCGTGCCAGTAAGTCTAATTGCGTCCATTGCCAGCCTCAAACACGGAGGATGCAACAAGGTTTTGCGAGAGCTGGTCAAACACAAACTTCTGGCCTATGAGCGCAGCAAAAGTAAATGCTTCAGCATTGATAATATCATTCAGTAGTGTGTGGGGGTCTTTGCAGATTCTGACTGTTTCCTCTCTAGCTGTACAGGGCTACCGGCTGAATTACGGTGGATATGATTACCTGGCGCTGAAGACACTTTCATCCAGAGATGTGATTTTATCAGTTGGAAACCAGATGGGAGTTGGCAAAGAGTCAGGTCAGGACATTTTTTTTATAAAGATGAAGGATACATATTTACATGTTTTTTTTTTTTTTGTTTTTTTTTTTAAACAAAAAGGATACTTTCTTCATACTTAAAACACACTTTTTTAATTTTTATAGATATTTACATTGTTGCTAATGCGGAGGAGCAGCAGTTTGCTCTGAAACTTCATAGACTGGGCAGGACGTCCTTCAGAAACTTGAAGAATAAGAGAGATTATCACAAGCACAGAAACAATATGTCATGGTTGTATCTGTCTCGGCTCTCTGCCATGAAAGAGTTTGCATACATGAAGGTAAAACCCCAAAAGCTGAGTTGTTGTTGTTGTTTAGGCCAGGGGTGCTCAACCCTGTTCCTGGAGATCTACCTTCCTATAGAGTTTAGCTCCAACCCCGATCAAACACACCTGAGCCAATTAATTAGGACATGAACAGCACTTGATAATTACAAACAGGTGTGTTTGATCGGGGTTGCAACTGAAATCTGCAGGAAGGTAGATCTCCAGGAACAGGGTTGAGCACCCCTGGTTTAGGCTGTTCGTCAGGATTTATTTTATGATTCCTTTTTTTTTTTTTTTTTAAACAGGCTTTATATGATCGAGGATTTCCTGTTCCAAAGCCAGTGGACTACAACAGACACGCAGTGGTGATGGAGCTCATTAACGGTTACCCGCTGTGAGTTTACATGCACTTTAAGATCAACATATTTTACGCAATATAGACTTTTGTTACAATAAAAACTTTAATGCATGATGATTAATAATCTGTCATTTAATCAGAAATATTTTGATCCATTATTCATGATTTTGTAATAGTAATGGAATATTGCTGTATTCTCTGCACAGGTGTCAGGTTCGAGAGATTCAAGATCCTGCTGCACTGTACAGCGAAATCATGGAGCTAATAGTCAAACTGGCCAATCATGGCCTGATCCACGGAGACTTCAATGAATTTAACCTAATGCTTGACGACAATGATCACGTCACAATGATCGACTTCCCTCAGATGGTCTCCACCTCACATATAAATGCAGAATGGTGAATATCTGTTCAGATATCAAACTGATTATTATTATTTAATAAAGAACAATTGCAGCAATGTAATAAATGTTCTGTTTCCTGAAAGGTACTTTGATCGTGATGTCAAGTGTATTCGAGATTTCTTCATAAAAAGATTTAACTATGAAAGCGAACTCTATCCAACCTTCAAAGATATCAGGTAATGTTTTTTTCTTTCAGAATGCTTTACTATGATGTTGTCCTAACTTCAGAGGCTGAACAAAGTCACATTTTCCTCTATACAGAAGGGCATGTTCACTGGATGTGGAGATCTCAGCTAGTGGCTACACAAAAGAGCTGCAGCAGGACGACAGTTTGCTCCACCCTGAAGGTCCTGAGAGTGATGGAGATGAAGACGATGAGAGCCCAGAGTCAACTGACGACACGCATCAGGCGTCTGCAGGGGACACTATCGACATGGAGGAGTTTAAACATGCCATGCTTGAGCTACAAGGGCTAAAAATAAGTGCAGAGACTTTATCAGAAGAGAACAACACAGAGCCTGAGGGAGCACGATGTGAGCAGGACGTCCCCTCAGAGGATCTTCAGACAGAAATGGTTTCTGGCATTTCTGAAGACTTGGGCAGAGATGAGGTGGAGGATGAGTGTCCTGATTTGGTTGACCTGTCTGCATGCAATAAAGAGTTCAGACCATTCAGGTGAGCAGACATGTTGGGATAATGTGGTGCAGTTTTTAGTGTTGTAACTTGTAGATTCTGCCTGTATACATTTTTCTTGTTGCTAATAATTCCAAAAAGCTTTTATCACACTGAGCCGAAGAAATGGTATAATAACCAATAACTAATTTTAACAAAATGTTAAAAAGGATGAAGTACAATATGTAACACTTTACAATAAAGTCTCATTATGTTAGTAAATGCATTAAAATCAAAGAAATTTTTTTAAATTAAAAATCATTTTTAATTAATAAAATTAAAAAGAATTTTTATCTGTTATTAACTCCTTTTTAATAGAAACATTGAGCCTCTCTTAATGCATTATGTGGTAAGATTAACATTGTCATGACATTTAAGTTTACTTGTCTGTTAACAAATGGAACCTTAATATACAGAGTTAACGAACAAAAGGCCTATAAATAATCAAAAAATTGTCAATATTGTTGAACAGATTAACAAGAAAGTGTTATAATAAATTTAATAAATGTATAATATGTGTAATAAATATACTTATTTAAAATAAATTGCTTAAGTGTTAAAGCATCTGTGATGAACAACCACTGCTAATACAACCATCTGAATATTCTTAAAAGGCACTCTAAAAGAATAAATAATCAATAATTATTCATGGTATTTGCCCATAAGTACCCATGATGTCAATATTGTGCATGTTTATTATCACGATTTATTGAATATTAACATATGTCTATGTAACATTTTCTGGTTATCATTAATTCTAGAGCTTTAGTTACACAATGACCACTTCAAAGACTGAGTGTTGGTCTGGGTTAACTGAGATAAATTATCCATTGTTGGTCTCATAATACTATTTTAATATTATGAAAGCACAACAGCTCCTTGTTTTTAGGAATGTTATTATAGACCACAGAAGTTCAGCTTTTTCACTGAAGTCAGGGATTGTTCAGGGAAGTTGACATTTGACTAAAAGAGGGAAACCCCTGAAAATTGCACTGTGTCATTCACTGTGTAATGAAGCCTATTAGAATACAGTCAAAATCCTCTTATAAATAAAGTTATGAAAGCAAACAAATATCCTTTAGGTTTTATAATCTATGATAAAGCTCAATGATAAAGTAAACCTCCTCTAGCACGAAGTGCTGTTTGAGCATGATTGCAAATGTGATCAGTTTTATACCGGAGTTCAGCAAACTAATTTATATTGAGTTGCATTTTAGACACAATGCTTTTTGAACTAATGAATGTGGTTGTAAGTTAAGGCAGAGTACAATATTTGTGTATTTTCTAATAATAAATCAGGCACTTTGGATGAATTACTTGCATGAATGATTCGACGAGCCACTCATTAAGACACAGACTTCAGTGTCATATTTATATATTAATAAAATAACTTCTATTAATATGATTCATGCAATCCCACAGAGACCAACTGAGCCTCGAGAATGATCACAGGAGAAGAACAACCAGTGAAATGAGCATGGCAAGTGTGGCCAGTTGCTCTACAATTCCACCAGTGAGTACAAACCATTAGAATGCCTCGTTCACAATAGCATGATTAGTGAATATTTTTGGGTATGCATATATAGACAGGAAGTTCCTTGGAAGAAAATAAGTTACCACTGCTGAGATTTATGTTGTATTGAAGCTATGTCTTGGATGTTTCCCAATGCAGGAGGTGATCAGGCAGAAGGTGAAGAGACAGCTGACCAAACAACAGAAGGCGGCTCAGAGGAGACGTCTGCATAAGGGGGAAGCCAACCTGGTGACCAAGGAGAGGAGAGAGAACCAGAACAACATCAAGAGCAGTCTGGAGACTGCTTCCTTCTGGGGCTGAGGATCTACTCACTCAGCCTAATGGAGAAATGATCTCAGGACTGCTAACGGTTTTCACTTGTGTGTGTATATAAAATTGATTAATAAAACATCTAAATCTGCAAGTTGAGTTGGTTGTATGATTTCTTTTTTGAAATATATCACTTTTTTTTAAAATAATAGTAAATTGTTGACCATCAATCACAAGTATGCTGGAGATTTTTGTTTGTTCAGCTGAATATGCATGGTCTCCTTCAAGCTTAACATGCTAATGTTTTAATAATGCAAACATTTTCCTTTAAATTGCTCTGCGAGGTGTCAGAATCAGTTTTGCGTGTTTATTGTTTTGTAACATATAACGTAAAATTTATCCAAGTTGTCACCTTGACTCAATATTAAACGTTCGCCTTTTGTGCCTCTCCGCTTGCCTTTGAAGGGCGGAGAGACACGTGATCTGTGTATTGCGATAGCGTCCAGGAACAAAACAAACCCCAGAGCTGACAGCTTCGCTAAAGCTTTATGATAGCTGTCAGCTATTTTTTATGAGAGGGATATCGCAGTATATTACTTGGGTAAGTTGTGGCGTTTTTCTTTTCATATAAGATGATTCTGAGGTTGTCGTGTTTCGGGGAGTGTAATTTGAATCAGTATAACCTAATGTTAGCAGGGGGAATGTTTGAGTCGTTTCTCCCTATTGCAACGATACTTTTCACTGGATAACGTTTTAAAATCGTGAGGCTAACAACGAGTTTTTTTTAATATGTGTCCTTTCTGTTTTCGATGGTTATTTGGGTTGTGGAAACTCTTACCGCTTCAATTTCCGCTGTTTCTCCAATGTTGTTTTCGTTCTTCCTCAGCTTAGACGATTGTTGTCATATAAACATATATATATATATATATATATATATATATATATATATATATATATATATATATATATATATATATATATATAATTTGTTTTATATGACTTATTTTCGTTTTTCAAACCCATGTGTTTTTTTTTCAGAGAAAAAAAAACATGTATGTCTTCTCTGTTTTACCGTCCTGTCACTTTCAGCCTTTTATCTGTCTCTCTATCTGTCTACGTGTCCTTTTGTTTGTCTATCTATGTATCTGTCTTTCAGTCTGTGTTTTTATTTGTACAGTATGTCTATTTAACTTTGTTGATCTATCCGTTTGACTATCCTACTGTCTGTCTGCACAATCTGTCTATTTATCTCTCTGTCTATCTGCTGTATCCATTCATCCATCCATTCAGAATTCTTTCTGTATAGTTGTCTGTCTGTCTGCCTGCGCTATTCTGTCCATCTGTCAACTAAAACAAGGGATTTTGCTGAATGTTGGTAGGGCTGACAGTCTCAGTCCCCTTTCCGTTTCAATGCCTTTTCTTTCTATTTCGAAGTAAAAGGTAACTGAGAATGTGATGGATTTCACTTTGTCTTGCACGCAAAACAAAAGCCATAGATGCCTGAAAAGACATATGAAGGCAAGACCATAAATAATGCTGAGTCGTCATTTGTGGGTGAACTGTCTCTTTAAACTGCACATCTCTTTTTTTGAAGTGTCATGACTTGTGTGCCGCAGGGTCCCGTGTGGATCTGGAGAAATAGAGTGATTTCATAAAGATCATGTGGTTTCATGTGTGGAGATGGAGGCTGTGAGACCTAAAAAGGCAAAGTCCAAATCCAGTGGGAAGCCACAGGTGAAAACCTGTCTATAAGCTCATTTTATCAATCTGTAGGTTTGCATTTTTATATAATTTCATGTTTTAAAAAATGCTTCATTTACAGGTCAAAAAGGAGAGGCAGTCAGAGAGCGTCAGACAGCCCTCGGGATCTTCTAAAGCAGTTAATGAGCCTGAGTTCACTGATGTGCCGCTCAGCCTCCCTCATGTGCCTCCTGACCTCAACACAGCTGCCTCTCAGACTTCACTAGATCATCATGACAAAGCTGAAAATGAGCAACAGCATGTTCTCTTATGCGAGAAGCCTGAAGTAGTACAGAAATCGACGTGTCATGAAGACAAAGAGCATGAATTGCCATCACAAGATGCTGCACCTCGGCTGGACCAAACATCAGTGCTTGCTCCGTCCAGCCAAAGTGATCCCAAACCCCTCAGTGCTAAACTTGAGCCATTTAGTGTCCCCTCTATATATCCCTCTATCCCAGCTTCCCTCTCCCAGCCTCAGCTTTCAGAGGACTCGTACTCTATCTCCTACGAACTGTTAGATGGCTCTTTAATGCCAGCAGCGTCTGAGAGACTAGTAGCTCCGGCTGTTTTGACTCTGGCTAACCAGGAGTCCTCTCCGCCCAGCTTGGTTCCAGTGGAGGTTGTGGATGTGGAAAGATCTAGAGAGAGGCTTTACCCAGAGCTGCCTAAGACCTGCCAGTCTGTGAAGCCCTTCACTAGTGAGCAGCTGCGCATGTGGGAGCCCGGTTCCTGGCTGGAAAACGTGGAGCTGCATGAAGCCGAATTCCAGAATCTGGCTCATCAAGAGGGACATGAGCTGTACGAGCTGCTGCTGAGCTACTGGAGGTGCCGGAAGCAGCTGACGCAGGCCCAGACTGAACTGCAGGCTGCCAACTCGGACTGCAAAAATGTGCAGAATCGCCTGTGGAGCTTCAAGGATGAAAGGCTTTCGTTACAGGTCAGTAATGTTATCTGTTTGTCAATTCAGTTCAGTTTAAACAAGCTTTATTGGCATGATTGTAAAGCATTACTAAAGCATTGGAGATTACTTAAACAATGGATAAAAATGTAAATTGATTATATAATTCATATATACATACCGCTTTAGAAGGTTTCATGTGAATCTCAAGAGGATGGGTTATTAGTTTGCCTGCACATAATCTGCACGCGCAGAATTCTGCAGATTTTTAGCCCATTATTGATTCTGTTTATTTACTTGTGTAAATGTGTGTACATTTTGATTTCTTTAGTTTTTAAATTAATGGCAGTAATATTTTTGACTAATTTGAAAACATTCATATGATTTATTTACAATACAGTTTGTGAGGTAATATTTTCTGTATTTTGTATGTATTTTATATGAGAGACTTGCTTTATTTACCAAATAAAGTGGATCTAATTAGGTTTGTAAGCATTAAATAAAAGTTAAAAAAGTATTACTTTTCATTTCATATATTACATTTTTTAGTAATGATAGTTATGATACAAAATCATTCTCATGAATCCGCAGATTTTTAACACAATTTTTCGCAGAAATTGCAAAAATGTCTGCAGATTCTGTCTAGTTATTAGTTATTTAGAGAAAAAAAAGCTGAACAACTAAAAATTAAGTAGGGCTGGGCTATATGGTAAAAATCCAATCTCGATAATTATTTTTTATATTGAACAATAAAGATATATATATTTTGATTCAAGTTGTTAATGCTTCCAGATTTAAGAGTACCCCAACAAAGACTGAAGCCACAAAAATTAGAGGGTCCATTAAATGGAAAATAACATTTTCGTCTGATACATTTTCGGTGGCAGAAAATTCAGTACATCTCTAATATCAACACACTTTTAGATTCCCATTGCACACATCTTAGATCAATATAGAGTAAATAAAAAGTCCAGAGCTTATCATTGTTATTGACATAAATTTCATCACGATTCTATATAATATTGTTTATCGGCTCAGCCTCATCATTCTATTAATCTGTTTTTCTGTTTGTTCTCTCCTTCTGTCTGTTGTTGTCTGACTTTTGCATCTGTTGATTTATCATTGTATTTATCAATCTATTGTTCTCTCTTCCATACTATTCTTCTGTTTATCATGCTTTCTGTCTTTAGTTCTGTCTTTGTCTTTTTGTCAGTCGTTCTGTATTTGTATTTTGCATTAATTTGGATCCCCCATTAGCTACAGTATGCCTTAAAGCATTGCTATTCTTCCTGGGGTAAACACAGGGCTTAAAATAAATAAATAATTTCATACATAAGAAAATGTAATACATTTATGCATTACAATATTATTAGTACACATTACTTTCAGCTTATTTGCTAGCATCTCAAACGTCTTCAATAAAAACAAGGTATCCGCGGGGTCTTAAAGTATTAAAGTTAATAAATCAGCGTAGAGAAATTTAAGGACCTTAAAAAGTATTAAAACGTCTTAATGCTATTTTGCAAGGTATTACATTTCATATCATTGTTGATTATGCAATGTATGGTTGTATGCTAAAGTTTGCCTGAATAAAATCTGCAAATATCAGGATGCTGTTTAGTTAATCCTGGTAGATTTGACATCATGTTGCTTTGTTTACTACAGAAACCAAGGGAACACCATTTTTTCTGCAGCTATAGGTGCCAACGTGGATATGAATAATGTTTTAGTTTTGGATTAGTTTCTTACATAAATATTTAGTAAATATACTATAAGTTAAAATCTCGCCAGTGTTTTCGATTGAAACTTAAAGTGGTTATAAGGTCTTAAAATGTATGGAAAGAGTCTTGAAAAAGGTCTTAGAAGGTATTGAATTTCACTTTCTGATTCCTGTATATACCCTGGAAAAATGTAAACCTTGATTTCCTACAATAAGTTTCTACAAATGATAATCTTATGAACACAGAATTCAAAAAAAAAATTTGTTTTATTTTTTTAGAAATTCCATGATTTTGTTGCACTACATTTAAGAAAGTTGCTCATCTAGAATCATATTATGTACAGTAGATGGATATTAGATTGCAATTGATTATGCTGATCTATTGGAGTTTTTAAATGTGAAACTTCCCATGTTGATAGCAATAATGCAGCCACCATTCTGTCTTCTATCCATTGACATTTAAGCTCTGAATGCATACAGTTAATATTTCATATTTGTAATATACAAACACAGAAGGATTATCCTCAATGCCCTATTTTGTACGGAGCTGGAGCTTTCTTAAATCCTTTTTTACGGTGCTAGCCAATATCATCTGACAGTAGTCAAGCTGTGAAGAAAAACAAAGTCTAATATTTTATTATATCTCATATCAAACCTAAAATATTGTCCTGTCTAAAAGTATTTCCTTTATCCTGATAAACATACAAAACATGGTAAGTTAGTTTTATTCATAGCTTAATGTTTTTCTTTGTAATGTCCATTAATTTTAGTTCTACTTCCAATTTTGCATCCTGTTTGTTATCTGAGACATAACTATTCCCAGATGTTTGTTTAAGTGACATTATGCCTTCGCCATAGAAATACACTGCACTGGTCTATTTTATTATTCTCAAGCACACCTGTTTGTTTTACAGGGTATATGTGCAGACCAGAATAAGGTGTATGGCTACCACTGCTACCAGCAGGTGACACTGAACGAGGCTGCGTTAGCTGAGCTGAAGCACCTGTTTTCTGCTAAAGCGGAAATCCTCCATCAGACAGTGGCTCTGCACTCATACACCTCCATCCTGTCCCGTCTGCAAGTGGAGTCTTATCTCTACCGCTTGCTCAGCAGTAACCCCACCACCAAGAGTGTGGCTGTGCAAGATACAAGTGCAGGCAAGTTCACACTGATAAGTCGAGTCTGTACATGAGCCACAAATTATTGGTTAGGTTTGTTTCCTAAGGAGTACCATGTCTTGCCAAAAACACTTGCACAAATACACTTGAAGGGATAGTTGACCCAAAAATTCATCTTTTGTCATCATTTACCTAATAACCCGAGTTTCTTTATTCTGTTAAACACACAAAAAAAAAAAGATTATTTGAAGAATGTTGGAAGCCTGTAACCGTTGACCTCTTAGTATTTGTTTTTCCTACTTCCTACATCTTCTTTTGTGTTCAACATAAGAAAAGTAGCCCATATAGGTTTATAACCACTTGAGGGAGAGTAAACTGTGACAATTTTCACTTTTGGGTGAATATCCCTTATGTTCGGTTTGCGAAGTCATCCATCTTTGGCGAATGTGCCAGAAAATATTTTTGATTTCTATTTATTTGAGTTCTCACTGAGTTTTAGACTTGTTTCATTTAGAAGACTGCACTCTATGAAAGCCATATTTGCTGTCTACATAATACATTTATGGATATCTTATTTAGGAAAAGTACAGTTACTATAATACAGTTAATTGTTATTTATTCTAATTGTTGGATGTGGCCTAAAATGGCAGCTCTGGAGGGTGTAGCCTGTGAAATTAGGCCCTGAATTAAGCTTTTAGCTGACACTTTTATCCATAGAACTGACAACTTTCTTTCATCTATATTATTTTGTCCATTCATCCTGACCACTGAAAAATGATTGTTCTCATGAAAGTAGTTCTGCCTGTGATTTTGAATGTCATGCTGTCTATTGATTTTTGTATTGAATGTCTTAGTGAGTCCAAAGTCTCAGCCCTCGTCTTTGCAGCCGCTGAAGGAAAGCATCAGTGTGCTGTTCATCTTCACCCGACGGGTCCTAGATGATTCTCAGTTTCAGGCTGACATCCATCTTTGGCTTCAGAGGCTGGTAAAGATCTCAAAACAACTAGTAATGGACTGCAAAAAAAAGTCAAAGTCTAGATAACATGAGGTTATAATAAAATAACTGTTTTCATTTAAGGACAAATAAAAGGTAGTAGCCTTATTGTAATATTTGTAAATATTACCAGCTATAAGCATTTATGAATCCTTTTTATTTTTTAAAATCTGGTGTACGTAAAGTTTTGTAATTCATGCTAAAATAGCAATATTAATACACTTGAATTTTCTGTAGATAAAAGGATATTAGTTATAAGATTTCTTTTTCATCCAGGTGTCTGTGCTGCATCAGGTCGGTTCTACAGGAGATCATCTATTCATCCTAAACCACCTGCTCTGCTGCCCGGCAGGTGTAGGGAAATGGGCTGTGCCATTCCTACAGGTACGGAGGCAAAGCCCTGACATTGACCCGTAGAAAATGTTAACAGGGACATAGAAAATGTATACAGCGGGAAAATAAAATATTGAACGTGTCACTCTTTTTTGACTTGTTGACTTCACCAGATTTCAACCCTTGTTGAAATTTCACCAGATTTCAGTAACAAACAAAGCAATCCATACATACAAAGAAATCAAAAGTAATAACTTCAGAAATTGAGTCAAGTGTAATAAAAATGACACCGGGAATTGTATTGAACACATGAATAAAGAAAGGTGTAAAAAGGCATGGAAAGCCCAGACAGCAGCAGACATTTCTTAGTAATTAGAAAGCAATCCTGCCCCTCATCAGTGTTAAAGCTGCTAAAATGAACATCCAGTCTCCTGACTTATAGAAAATAAGAATTAAAGATCAGTGTTGATAGATGAGTCCCACAGAATTGTCAATATTTTTCATCAAGATCATTAATTTTTGGACTGTTGAAGTCTGGGAAACGGTTCACACCTGAGCAATGCATGTGACTCCATTTCTGTTAGAAATATATTCACCAGGACAAATCATAACATGTTCACTACCTATTTTTTTCCCTCTGTGTATGTGCGTGCGTGTGTGTGTGTGTGTGTGTATGTATGTATGTATGTATGTATGTATGTATGTATGTATGTATGTATATGTGTGTATATATATATATATATATATATATATATATATATATATATATACATACACACTGTACATCCAATTGTCAAATAGCCACTTGTCTTATAATCAGTGGTAGAAAGAGTACTGAAAAATCGAGTGGAAGTACCATTACTTTGTAAAACATGCCGAGTAAAGGAAAAAGATCTGTTCTAAATACTAAAGGTATTTAGTATGTAAAAAAACCTTTTTTAAACTACACAAAGGTAGTGAGTAATGCGTGTTACACTGTGAAAACTATTTCGTCTTATATCCTGCAAATTACATCATTGTCATTTTCTTTTTTTGCGTGTTCTTTTATGAGTTATTTAGCATGCATAGACTACAATTTACAGATTTGCTACATTTGTAAAGCATCTGTTTCTTCTTGAGGTCTGTCTGTCTGATGTAATCTTTCAATGTGCAGTTTAATTATATGGGAATCACAGAACCGCTTATTTTACTTGGCCAATCACTGTACAAGAAAATAAACTAACAAAGTAGTGACTGCAGGTTGACTGAAAAAAGTGCAGAAATACTGCATATGCATATAACACATTACAAGTTAACATTTTTAAACCTAGTTAGTAAATTACAATACCTGAGAAAAACTTCCCACTTACAGTAATTGGACCATTTGTAATTCATTACTTTATAACTGTGCTTATAATAGCATTGCATCTGCTCTCTTTTAATAGATCAAAGTATTGGATAACCCATCTGGAGTATATCATTTCATGCAGGCCCTTGCTATCCTTATGTCTCCAGCAAGGTAAATATTAACTGGACAAATGAACCTGTGATCCACTGAATAATCATCATCAAGCCTAAACTGGATGCAAAGAAAATTGGATTTTATTTTGTTGAATGTGTGTGTTTGACATGCAGGCACCGTCCAGACTTCCTGGGACACATGAAGCCCAGTGATGCAAGGGGCAACAACAGCCTAACAGAACCTGCATCTGGTAACTGGACTCTAGTGGATGAAGGTGGAGAAGAGGTGAGGAGGTCCATCATGACATGACAAACTGGCATCACTGCTTAGCCCTATCGGTGCTTTAAAATGTCCTGTATCCAGCTGCTGACAACGTGTTTTCCCTGATTCAATCACAAGTAGTCAGCTGGGACGCATTACCATTTTCACCTAGAGTTAACAAGTTCAAATGCTTCACTTGTGACTTCTTCTGTTAGACTTTTTTTTTAAAGACAATCCCTTTTCATTTTGTAACACTCTACATTACTCAGTGCAGCACTCAACCACGGCTGATTGAACAAACCAAACAGTTAATGAGTGCGTAGTAATGCAAGCAAGTGAAAGTATGTGGATATAATCTGTGTGTCTTGTTTTGATGTTCTTTCTTGAAACATTTCCCATAGCTATCACATGTTAGGATTGTACGTCAGTCTTGGCTTTTGTGGCTGTTCAAGCACATTCGACCACATTAGTGTTAATACTGTGATAGCCATGACTAGAGCTGCACAATATATAATTTCAGCATCAATATCATTATGTGCTGATCGCTGGATGTGAAGTGTTGAGTCTGGATCATAGTTGACCGTGAGCCACAGACTCAGAACACATGAGATTTGTAGAGTCACTATAAAGTTTAACCTAATGGAGTACATTTTATCATTCGCAGGAATTTTTAAGGCTTTTGTCCGTGTGAACATTTCTAGAAAGTTTAAAGCATTTAGGCAGAAGAAATAACAGGTTCATACATAAATTCATTCTTTTATTAATTTTCCTTCGGCTTAGTACCTTTATTTATCAGGGGTTTGCCACAGCGGAATGAACCGCCAACTGATCCAGCATATGTTTTAAGCAGCGGATGCTCTTCCAGCTGCAACCAAGTACTGGGAAACATTCATACGCACATACATCAAGGCCAATTTAGTTTCTTCAATTCACCTATATAGTATAACGCTTGTGTTTGACTGGAGCACCCGGAGGAAACCCACGCTATCACAAGGAGAACATGCAAATCCAAATGCCAACTGACCCAGCCGAGACTGGAACAAGCAACCTTTTTGAGGTGACAGTGCTAACCACTGAGCCACCGTGTTATTTAATATCTGTACCTGAATCATGTAAGACTGCTGCTAGAAAACACTGCTTATTTCACTTATATGCTTGCAGTTTGTTTATTATATTTCATGCAGATGTACTCCCTACAAGTGATCCCAATTAGTCAAAAAAATTTGTTGTCTTTGAATAAAAGTTGTAGTCCTGTTTTACAGTTTTTTACATACAGCAATATCTATCACTAAAAAATATCAAATATCACAATATCAGATTTTTACAATGTTGTGCACCTCTAGTTATAACTTGTCTGGTTAAATGGATTTTTGACTGTGGAAGTGGTCAAAAGTGGACATGCTCAAAGTATTTTATAAAAGTTGAAGTTGCCACCCTATAAAAATAAAAAAATGGCTGAAACTATGCCATTCATTTGTGCCATGTACGTGCTGATCTGTGCCACAAAAAGGAATGTTTGTGTTGGCTTTTGACTGTGACTTCACTTTCCACCCCATGTTGCTCAAATCACTCCAAATCAGCACAGTTCATTTGTGCTCAATTTGTGCTGTTTTGTGCCATTAAAACTGTTTTCCTTGTTTAGATATAACCAGGTAAAGTGTTTGCTTTAACAGCACAAACTAGCATAAATCGAGCACAAATGAATGACACCTGCTTTTTCTTGCAATTTAGAGGAAATGGGGTGGAGAGTGACGTCGCAGCTCCAGAAATATTTTGGTTATATCCAAACACAGAAAACAGATAGAGACAGTGTTTGTTTTAATGCCACAAACCAGCACAAATCTAGCACAAACGAACTGTGCTGATTTAAAGTGATTTGTAGTGGTGTAATGGATCACAAATCCCATGGTTCAGATCACTTAATGATTTTTAGTCATGGGTCAGACTAGGGATGCAACAATACAGTTAGCCTACGATTCAATGCATACCTCAGTTTTTTAACACTGTTTTCGGTTTGGTTCTGATGGCTTGACACGCGTTTTCTTTTGTTATTCTTTGCTTACGCAATAGGATTAGTGAGAGTTTAAGGAGAAAAAGAGTAAAAACGGTTTATTGTAATACTCCTTTATTTTACTTTAAAGCCAAGAAATTTACACTAGTTCCTATTGTATAAAAAAAACACTGAAATCTCACAGCTGCTGGTAGCCCATATACAAACTGGGGAACACAAAAAATCCTACAATTTTAAAGTAAATGTGAAGATAATAAACATAAATTGACCATTTCAAATAACTTCAGTAAACTTAAATAAACCATCTTAATTATCTCATGTTGAAAAAAGTGTGAGACTGTAGTCTGTAAGTTAAAGCGGATTAAGTGCTTTTATAAGATGACAAAAGTCTGCATCTCCATTCACTAAAAAGGGCTACAAATCTTTATCAATGAACACCCCCACTGCCTTTGCTATTTTCATGTGTCTCTCAGAACCAGTTGGGTTTGTTTGCTGGAAGAATTCAACAAGGGATTGTTGTTTTTTTGGAGAACTTTATCACCTTCTCTGCTATCCTGCCTTCAGACAGTGATATTGCTAGGTCATGGCACTGCAGATGTGCAGTCAGGTTGGAAGTGTTTCCGTTTGAGTAGGCTATACGTGTAAAACAATGCTTGCACAATGTTTTTTCTTTCATTGACATTATACTCAACGGAAAAACTGAAATGTGCTCACATCAGATTTGAAAAACGCCAGTGTGGTGAGAAATCCGGCGCTTCCTCGTACTGTTACTTCACCTACTGTTGGTTAAGTGCCCCCTAACTTTACAGCATAGTCATTGAATATTTACTTGCGGAGAGGAGTTTCCTCATCTCAGCTCATAGACTTACAAGCACATAAACACAGTCAATTCGAAGAAATATATAACGCACACAAATTATTTAAATGTAAAACAGAAAAAAACGCAATTCACAAGCCCGGATTGAACCGTGGATGTTGTACCGAAGGGTTCAATATTATATCGAGAATTGCAACATCCCTAGATCAGACCATTTTTCGGATGATCCAAAAAGTGGAGGAGACAAATGTAATTTGCTTTCCATTTATTACACAAACAGTACTGCAAGACACTTTTGGTTTGAACACATAGAACTGAGAACCTTTAATTTCATGTAATTTTACTTTTAAAAAAAGAAGAAAAAAATCACCTGAATAAAAATTTTATTTTCGTTATTGTGAAAAATTCACTGTTACTACAACCCATATTTATTTTTAGCCTCATTTTTAATAAATGATTCAGTTATTCACTTATAAAATAACATGTTTTATTGCTTGATGTGTCATTTTTGAAGAATTATTCAGTGGCATAATTTTAATGGCTGGTTGTTGCCACCTATTGGTAAAATAATGTAATTGCTGCCTAAAGCTTTCATTTTTGAGTGCTGTTAAATGCAGATGACGGTGGTTTTATTATTTACCATAAATATTATTTACCATGGTTTTATTTAAACTTTAAACTGTTATCCCAGTACTTCTGTGTTGTTTCACTGTTTGTAACTTCATAACTAAATTAGTAACTTCATGACTAAAGACTGAATCTCTGTCTTGATTTTTGCATTTTCAGATTTAAAGCGATTTTGAAGGATTAATAAACGTATTAATGCTGCGTGGGTGTTGAGATCCTGATCTTAAATGATTAATTGTGTAGCTTACACTGAATGCATTAATGCAGGCTAAACAACACCTTTATTGAAAAACCCACCACATCCCGAATAACCTAGTACAACTACTTCCGTCATTATTATGTTTTAAAAGAACGCCTAAATGCTTTAATACATGTGATTTAAATGATGCGAGAGACAATCTCTCCGCGATCATTACAAATTTAGGATTAATCTACCAGTAAAAAAAATTATTAATCCGTGGGCCACGTGTGTTTTGAATCGTGGGTTGTGATCTGTACGAATCACAGATCAAACGTGATCCATTACACCCCTAGTAATTTGAGCAACATGGGGTAAAAAAGTGACATCACACAGTAAAAAAAAATAAGACCCTAAGTCAGAATAAACAAATGGCATAGTTTTGAGGATTATTCTTTCTCTTCAGAGATATCGTCTGACAGACTAAAACGCATCTTATAATACCAAGTGTTAACTAAGCTTAAAAAATTGTCTGAACTTTTTTATTCTGCTTTATAAAATAAAAAGCTTTTTTTAGCCAGTTGTTCGGCCAGAATCTGTTGATATCATACATTGTGTTAACATTTGATTTCACAGCCTACTATTTTGAGCTATTAGTTTCTCTTTGATTGTCATCACAAACCAAAAGTGTTCATATTTTTTGTCTGTTATGTCTCCAACAACAGACCCTTTGTTGTGCTTGTTATGCTGCTTGTTATGACTTTACATGCTTCTCCCATGTGATGTCCGCTCTGCTGTAACACTCTTTGTGAACTCCCTAAGGACGAAGACCCAGAAACGAGCTGGATGCTGCTGTCTGAGGATGATCTGGTTTCTCTGTTCTCTCAGTTTCCCTTTGATGAGCTCTTCAAACATTTACTGGGCATCTGCTCTAAAGGTGAGGCTGTCTTCATGCCCCACAAACAAACTGATGCAGACATGCAATATTAAGCCAGCGGATTGCATAGTATTCTTGTTTGTGATTTCCGACCACACAACACAAATGACCAAAACAAAAAGCTTTTGGCATGTATTTCCTTTATTATTTACAAGTCCTTCGATTATTACATGTATATTAAAGTTGACATTTTATCACAGTTCTCAATAATTGGCCTGTGAAATGTCACTCTGTCCAATAGGGGACTATCAGCCTCTAGCCACCACAAGTCAAAAGATGATGAAGATATTTGCGTTTGCCTCTTCACTGGTTGAGTTGCTAGCAGTCGGCTTGCAGACCTACAACAGAGCACGCTATCGGCAGTTTGTGAAGAGGATTGGTCACATGATTCGGTTTGTGTTTATTTCATACTATGACATGTCTATTTTAAGTAACACTTACTAACTACTTATATTCAGTTTCTGTTTAATATTTAGATAATTATTATAAACACATACAGTGATTGACATAATGCTGTGCTTAAAAGCAGCTTTACATGAAGTGCGCTTTCTAGTGTCACAATCGGGAAGTATTTTGATATAAATGATATGCATATGGTAGAAATGCTCAACTTTAATATACTAGTTCATCATAATTCTGGAGTGTAAGATCGTGTCCGAGCCTCCAACATTATTTACCCTTGTGTAGTTAAAATTGACTACCCTTTTGTTATGTTAGTGGCTGTTTTTGCCTATTTACTTCCATTATAACAACAAAGCCATGACACCCTATAATCATGCATTCTTAATTTTTGGTGGTTTTCCCTGTTGGGAAGAGGTCAAATTATTATTATTTTTTACTGTTAATCATCAGTTGGCATCATTAACCCTTTAGATAAACCTGTGCAAAAAAAAAAGTTTCTGGCTTTTATATGGAGTTTGTTACAGTAAAACAATTATAACGTGTGTAATGAGTGCATATTGTAATGTGAGTGCATAAAAAGACTTATTATGCTTGCTGTGTTCTGAAAGCTGGGGTGCTTATTTTGATTTTCTCAGACATATCAAGGTAAGTGCACAAAAGTCTCACATTCTCTCTCACACACAAAAACACTATACTCCAAGTTATTTCATATAAAAGCCTTTTTTTGCACTATAACTGATGATGAAAGATAAAAATAAAATTTTTTGCCTTTTTCCAATATGTAAAACCACCAACAATACTTCTATTTTTTTTATATATTTATTATCTGTTTTTTATCCTGTCTCTGTAATTCAGTTTCACTGTAGAAGCTCTGTCATGAAAACTAATTCCTTGTATGTGTGAACATACCTGGTAATAAAGCTCTTTCTGATTCTGATTCAATAGCCCACAATGCATGAATATATAGTGTTATGGCTTTGCAATAAAAAAAAAGTGTTGTTATAATGGAATTCAATGGGGCAAAAACAGCCACTAACATAATGAAAGGGTAGTAAATTTGCCCAGACTGTATTGAGTTTTTGAAAAATTTCAAAGCATTTTCCCAAAATATGTCAAAATGAGATTTGTCACTAAAATCATTCCATTTGATGAAACACAGAGAAGGTTGTGGCCAAGTTAAGACTTAAAATCACCCCAGAGTAGATGGAAACATTCCCAAGAGCACACAAGGGTTAAATTCATTTTCAGTTTTGGAGCCAGATGTACCTCAGTGCCATCAACAGTCTTTAGAGCTTATATATAGACCATGATTGATTGTAGCATGATATAAGATTAGTTAAATGCTATTAAATATGTCATTGGTTCTTTGACATTTTGAGTTACTTTTACAGATGTAGGTGACTTATATATTAAACAAATTCAGCATCAATTTCTTTTACAGATTAGGCCTTTGAGTATGTAATCGATACTCACTATTTTTTCTCATACTAGGATGACGCTCTGCTATGTGAGTGACCACTGGGCGCAGTACATCAGTCTGACCGGTGTGAGCAGGACCACAGTGCAGGAGCAGTCATTTTCAATGGAGAAACTGCAGGTGGAGTTTGACCATCTCTTCCTGAGGGCGGTGCTGCATGTGCTTAAGGCCAAGAGGTATAAGATTATTCTGAGGAAAGAAAGTTAAAATCTGACCTAAATCTTCTGTCCAATTCCCTCTATTTTTTTGCTTGTTTGTAGTCAATAAAGGTTTAATAAAAGCAGTGGTTTATCATGTGCATTTCTTCCTCATACTGTGTTTGTTTAACTTTTTCCCTTGTGGTGCGCAGACTGGGCATATGGCTGTTCATGTCTGAGATGCCGTATGGGACATTGTCCAGCTCCATGCTGTGGAAGATCTTCTACATTATGCAGTGTGCAGAGACAGATGGTCTGGAGAAGCTCAGTTGTAGCTTGAGTGCTGAGGACTGTATCCAGAGGCTCAGAGGTGAGAGGAAATGTGCATCTGATCCTAGGAAAAATATAAGAGAGCGTATCTTTATGACTAAAATCTGTAGTATTGGAAAAATATCTATATTGATCCTGCCATCTAATAGGTTGATGATGTGCCAATAAACAAACAAAAAACTGACAAATTAAAGCATTAAACATTATTAAATTGAAAATATCAATTAAAATCAGTTAATAAAATTATATTTTGCTCAAAAATAGCAATTTTTACCCTGAACAATTTTAGAGATTGACATAACTATATTCGTGTAGAATCTAATCTAATCTTGTCGAATTGTAATATTTCTTTTATTTTAGTTGTTTCTAAAAATATTAGCTATACATTAGTTTAATATAATATATCTGGTTGCATCATACTGCAATAAAGATATAAACTGAATACCAAATGTAATGTCATAGATAAATTCGTTCTGAAAGATCATCATGTCAGTCTGCAATTTCCGACCTAGCCTTAAAAATCATCTTGCACTGTCAATAAATTTTTTTATCATTTTATTGTTGCTTTTACTCTTGGATTATTGATTAGATTTTTTTATTTTATTTGATTTATTTCCTTTTTAACAGAAATATCATACATAAAATATCATTAACAAAAAATAAATTTCAACATGATCGAAAATGGAATGGGATGAAGCCCAAGCCTATTATTTTCCCACCCCTTTACCACATACATCATTCGTCTATTACTTAAATTTATTTCTTCTTTTACTTATTTCTTCTTTTTGCATAAGACATATTTTATCCTTTTGGCAACTTTGACAAATTATGTGTTTGATTCCATTTGTATATTTACATTTTGTGACATAGACCCGCAAAAAATACATAGTACTTCAAATAGCCATTAATTCAAATGTCATCATACCTTTCTCATTTTATCCGTTTTTAATCACCTTCATCATTATATTCCTTTAATAATATATATTTATACAATGTTTTAAATTGATTATTATCGTGACATTGTTTGAAAGTCTGATCTAGACTGTTCCATAATTTCACACCACAGACAGACATGCACAAACTTTTTAAAGTTATCCTTGTTTTCAACCTCCTAAAATTTAGTTATTCTCTCAGGTTCAATCCCCCATGTCTTTCTTCAAAAAACTTTTGTATGCATTTTGGAAGTAATTTATTCCTAGCTTTAAACATAAATTGTGCTATTTTATTTTAAACCAAATCATTAAACTTAAGTATTTTCAATTTTAAAAAAATAAAGGATTTGTATGCTCCAAATACCCGTCATGTTCTGTCAGTGTAATTACTTTTTTCTGTATTGTACATACGGATCATAAATTAGATTTATATGTATTGCCCCAAATTTCAACGCAATAACTCATGTATAGCATCATAAGTGTAAATTCATAAATATTTTTTTTTACTATTATTTTCTAAACTATTTTCTTTTCAGTTGTTTTAGTTTAAAATCAATTGTAACCACATCTTCTGTAACTTAAGCAAACAAGTCATGTGATTAGTTGAGAGATTTATCAAATTGCCCCCTCTAGTGGATGCCAAAAAATTGTTAGCGAAATTTCCTATTTGTAGTTGTTGCAGTGTATTTATTTAAATTATTATCAGGTGTCCCACCCACTTTAACAGGTGCTGGCATCTTCTTGTGAGACCAAAAAAACCCAGCTGTGTTTGTTTCAGAATCAAGCCATCAGGAGAGGTTTCAGCTTTGGCTGTCTGAGATAAACAGCTCAGATGGGATCTGCCTGTTGACAACGTTTGCGCACATGGCCCAGCCGAGACGCACCGATGTAGACCCTGAGTTTGTCAGGAACATAGTGCTAGAGATATACGAGGTGATCTAAAATCTGTCAAAATCTTTACCAAAGACCTAATCACAGCATGATACTATATGCTATATATAAATGCAACAAATGTCTGATTAATCTTTCCCTCAAGGTTTCCTATGTAAGTGTCACCACCCGTGAGATCTTCTCTAAAGTTGGACGGGAATTGCTTGCAGCGATAGCGGCTGCCCACCCTCACATCATCTCTGTGTTGCTGGAGAGACTGAGAGAGACCATAGAGAGAGTGGGCATGGTGAGCGAATACATCATAGTCTTCAGTCCACCAAACAAGCTCAAAGGTCACATTTCATTAAAGGGATAGATCATTCATTCATTTTCCTTCAGCTTAGTCCCTTTATTCATCAGGGGTCGCCATAGCGGAATGAACCACTAACTTATCCAGCATATGTTTTACACAGCGAATGCCCCTTCCAGCTGCAACCCAGTACTTGGAAACATCCACTCGCACTCATTCATACACTACAGACAATTTAGTTTATTCAATTCACATATAGCGCATGTCTTAGGACTGTGGGAGAAACCGGAATAAAGCAAACTCCACATAGTAATGACAACTAACCCAGCTGGGACTCGAACCAGCAACCTTCTTGCTGTGAGGCAACAGTGTTAACCACTAAGCCACCAAATCACCCAGGGATAGTTTACCCAAAACAAAAAAAATTAATTCAGTTATCATTTTTATTCACCCTTTACCTATTTCAAATAGTTTCTTCTGTTGAACACAAAATGAGATACTTTAAAGAGTGGAATCATTGACTTTTTATAGTTTTTTTAATTTATTTTTTTGTATTATGGAAGTCAATGATTACAGGTTTTCAGCTTTCTTCAAAATATCTTCTTTTGTGTTCAGGAAACCACTTGAGAGTGAGTAAATTTTTATTTTTGTGTGAAGTATTCCTTTAATGATTTTTGTAGAACTTGAGTAGTCTGAGATGAACAATGACATTTAAACATCATCATGAATGTTTATTCATGGGTTATATCTTGGTTTATTAGTTTTCCTATTTGCTAATTATCTATGCAGGTGTCGTTGTACCTGTTTAAAGAGTTGCCCTTGCACTTGTGGATGCCAGCTCAGGAGGAGGTGGGGCTGATCAGAGACTGGCTGATGAACTTCAGTCTCACTGCTGTTGAGAACAGATTAGCCTGCATTATACTAGAGGGCCTCAACTGGGGATTTCAGCCAGTGAGTCCGAAATGCTGATTTATCACCTTAAATATGTGTGTTCTGCTTTTTGCTTCAAGCACTGAAAGGAACTGTTCCTTTTATCCACAGAATGGTTGCCTTATTTTACCTGCACCTCTGCACAGTGACGTTGCCTTGTTGGTGATTGAGGCATATCAAAAATATCTTACAGATAAACCATATGGTGGCATCCTCTCAGAAGGCATTAAACAGGTATGCTTCACATACATAAATAAGACTGTGACACACCCTGCCTCTTAATAAGCATAGCTTATAAATGATTACAGGGGCAGAAATTAACAAGAATTTATTAACTACGTTAAATGACATTATATGACATTATAAATATTTTTAGTTACCTTATCTATGCTGTCTTATGTCAAATATTTGTAATACTTTTATGCATCAGTACTTCAGTTATTCAAAAAGTTATTTTGCACATTATATTTTAAAGGTGCAGTTGGTGATCTGTCACAGTGCTAACCAGTTAGCATAATATCTTTGAAACACAGTCCCTCCCCTGCCGTTCAAAGCCACGACTTCTGAAACACAAATGTGCACACCCTAAAGATGACAGCAGACAAACCTCTCTCATTCTCTAAAGCAGGGGTCATCAATTTCGGTCCTGGAGGGCCGGTGTCCCTGCAGGATTTAGCTCCAACTTACCTTAACACACCTGCCTGGATGTTTCAAGTATACCTAGTGAGACCTTGATTAGCTTGTCCAGGTATGTTTGATTAGGGTTGGAGCTAAAATCTGCAGGACACCGGCCCTCCAGGAACAAGTTTGGTGACCCCTGCTCTAAAGCGACTCTGCTTGGTGGTTGGCTGGCGGGTTGCATGAACTACACTTATTACTAAGCCATACTTGCATGCTATTTCAGACCGAATATTCAGAGAAGCATGGTAAACAATATAGGGAGCGCTTCACAGGTTGTCAATGTTCAAAAATGTACCAATGTGATTTGAATATAAAACCAGCTTCACCTCAGTAAAGCAGGCTAGACGGAATAGAGCTATTTACTTATGTTTGTTGTTGAACTAAATAAAAACCTACATTATCAATGCTATAAAAGGTCCCTTATAAAACTGAAAATAGTCACATCAATTGTTTGAGATTTCAGTAGCTGAACAACACTTCTGTGCATATAACCCATTCATAACAATACAATCTACATCAGCTTTGCATGACTCAAATAGTTTAAAAACATAACTTCACCTATCTAAAAGAAATACTTTAGCCATGGTGTCATGTTTCCTCCAGCGTGCAAAACTAAGTCCGATATTGATTCAGGATTTTAAAAAGTTTTGATTCAGCATTTGTGTTTGTTCTCTCTCATCTCGTGTGCACATGATTGTGCGGGGCGCATTTGTACAAAGCTATATTTGCTGACAGACAGTTTGTGCTACTTATCAGAATTATGGAAATTATCGACCTGACAATATTTAATTGAATCAACATTTTTTATAAAACATTAAATTCAATTAATGTTTATATATATATATATATATATATATATATATATATATATATATATATATATATATATATATATATATAGCGCTTTTTACAATGTAGATTGTGTCAAATCAGCTTAACATAGTACTAAAGTCCAGATTTTAGAGTTGAAGTTTAGTTTAGGTCAGTTCAGTGCGGTTTAAATTTCACTGCTCCACAAGTCCTGATCCGAGCAAGCCAGTGACCACAATGGCGAGGGAAAAAAACTTCACCAATTGACGAAGTGAAGGGAAAAAAAAACTCGAGAGAAACCAGGCTCTGTTGGGGACGACCATTAATCTTCTGGCCGAACTTCCTGTGTGGAGCTGTTGTCTAGGCGCCAGAGGCTGGAGAAGATGAACAACCATATTTGTGAAGCTGCAGGTGTGAGTAGGGCACTGGCGGGAGGTCAGGCTGACCCACAGGATCAATGCGGGAACTCGTTTGTACTGTGGTCTTTCAGCAATCAGTCCTTCATGCACTTCATTCCTCTATGACCACTACAGCATCAGCTCAGGATACGGCCTGGTCCAGGATTATAGATACCTTGGGATCATCTCTTCACAGGTCTTGGATCGCATCAATGGTGCTGCATAGTCCCTAGGGGCCTCAGGATGAGTATCCCCATGTAGAAATAGAGAAAAAAGAAAATAATTAGCGTAGCTGCTGTTCATAGTGTATTTAAAGGAGATGCAAAAATGAAGTACTACACATGAAAATAGCAGTTATGTAAACAAACATGTAAAGCATATGAGAGTTTCTAACACAGTGTACATATAACATAAAAATACATTTAGATCATTTACTTTAATCTTTACTAGTGGAATGTAAAGAGACTTTCAACCAGCACAACAAAAAATGTTTCTGAAGGCAATCACCTACTTCATCTTTAGTCAAGACAACTGTATTCTATTTAGTTTTACCATTTCAGCTTATATAAAAAGTTATATTTGCTGTTAATAGCCAATAGTTTAATCAATCACAATAGTGCTGTGTTTCCTCTAGAGTTTTTTTCCAGCTGTGGTGGCTTTTACACAGATCTTGGCATTATTTCAATGACAAATGTAGTGAGGGCAGTATTACAAGTCGAGATCACATTAATGTAATATGAGCACGTGAATCTCTTTGCTTGCGCACCGATTTCCTCCCTTTGTGCACAAAACTTCTTTCACACCCTCAAATATACGCTGCTCAAGTGCAGATTTTCTTGTGTGCTCTCAAATAAACACTGCTGAAGTGCGATTTACTGCGTTTATGTAACGAGTGTGTCTCCAACATTTATTAAATTTGCTAGGAGTATTTATGAATATCTCCAAAAGACCAGCAGAGCGACATTGATGCGTCCTGAAGTAAAATGAAACAGTCATAAACTCCAGCAAGATAAAGCCATTGTATGCAGAACCACAGACCTTTATCTATAAATTAAATATAATTATGGAAACTGTGTTCATCATAACTAAAAGCTACATCGTGTTTGCTGGCCTCACACATCGCACAGCCCTGTCAATCAGTAAGCATGTAACCTTAAAGGGTTAAACAAACAACACACAGCACTACTACCATTACAGAAAAGTTCACTCTGTTATAATTTACTTACCTTTTAACAGGTTTTGGTGTGATTATAGGCCACAATTAAAAAAAACAAACAAAAAAAACAACAATTAAAGGTTTTGAATGAAAAGCTGTAATGTAGCCATGGCGGAAATTAGGTTTTGATGTTGCCCTGCCATGGAACAATGAATGAAGCAAAAACCTTGTAGTGGATAATTAACCATTTCTGTCGAAGAATATTTTCTTCTTTGCATCAGACACCTGCACTGTATCTGTTATCAGCTAACAAAAAACTGTCACACCACCTGATTATGATAACTATCATTGATCAGCACATGTTTCTGTTTGTACTGCTTGTATGCTTTGAAATGTGAAAATTATTGGCAATCTTCTACAACAAACAGATCTTTTAATCCCAGTTTCTTTGCAAATCCTGTTTTGTGGACATGGTTATACGTGTTACTATGAAGACACTTTAATACGTGCCAGTCAATCAATTCATTGGGCTGGGAAAACAAACCTACAATATGTTAAAATGGGCCTCAAAATCATCTGGGATTTGGATTCTATTTTAACATCAGGAAACTTGTTGTGTTTATATCAGTCCAATTTGACAGTGGACACACTTTACCTACACACAGTTCTGTCCAAACTTCCAAAAGTTGATTTCGCATCATAGACGTCCTTTAACTCTGCGTTAGTTTATCATTATTACATATTTCTATGATAATTACAGTGATAATGACCTCTTTAGGTGTCTTACCTGGCTAACGTGGTGAGGCTCGGCCAGACTCCAGAATCTTCCTTTAATCAGTGGGCTTGGGATATAGTTCTGAGGCTAAAGCTCCACGCCAATGAAAGAAGCCCACAGGATGCATGGTGCCCGCTTCCATCCTCCAGTGCCCCCAGTGTGCCAGAGATCACAGACTCTCCCATTATGCACCCAGTGTTCAAAGCGGTCAAAGCCGGCATCCCCATTGGCTGTTTTCTGGCTATTGAGATGACCACCATCGGGCACAGGTTTGAAAAAATCCTCAGTATAAAAACTAGTTGATTCATCATCAACAAATCAAATCCAGGAACATGAATGTTTTGTGTTTTTCCAGTTTGGAGAAGTTTTGCAGTGAAGGAATATCTTTGCTGAAGACTCTGATTCAGTCCCGTCATCTGAGAGCTGCTGTGCACATACTGGAGAACATTCTTCCTCTGGTCTACAACTGCCAGTTCTACCTGCTTAAGAATGAGCAGTGAGGAACATTTGTGCTTCTATTCATGCTTAGTCACGTTTCCACTCTCAGGCCAGCATACTAAGGACAGGGTTAGTGACAGCTCCTAACAAATGGCATAACAAATACACATTATGCTCAAGAAAATGCCAGATACTGATAGAAAAACAAAGCTTATATGTTTAAAGCAGCATATTTGTTTCATAGTTCATCCTTCTTCCATGTGCATTGGTTGATACCAGATTTCTGCATCTGCAAATTCAGAAATGACATGAAATGGTGAATGAATGTGAAAGTTTATGTAAAATATATATATATTTTTTTTCAACACGTTTAAACATACTACTTTTATTAATTAATTTCTAATAACTAGTTTCTTTTGTCTTTGCAATGGGGAAAGTCCATAATATTTTACTAGATACTTTGCAAGATATTAATATTCAGCTTAAAGTGCAATTTAAAGGCTTAACTGGGATTGATTCATTGATTAACAGTTCATTGACTAATATTAATATATATATATATATATATATATATATATATATATATATATATATATATATATATATATATATATATATATATTTTTTTTTTTTTTGTCAATGAACTGTTAATGTTTCACAAGGGGCTAATAATAAAGACCTTAATTTTTTTTCCAATTAAATTCCAGTCAGATCTAAAGATGTAAGACTTTCCCCAAAGAAAAAATTTAGGAAATACTGTGATCAAAACACTTGACAGAATAAAAAGTTTACAGGAGGGATAATAATTTTGCCTTCAACTGTATATGGAGGTATTTTAAAGGTGATTTTTTAGGTTTTTGAGGCTAATGGCCCACTTAGCCCATGTTAGCCTTTGAACTGGCCTGATAGTGGAAAAGGGTGTTATTGTGTGATATTTTCAATTGTTGTCTTTGAATTTTTTTATTGTGTTCATAAGAGATAATAATGAATTGATAGTGTTGTCATTATTTAATTAACATTTATACATTTGCTCTAATATTAATCAGGTTTCTGAGCTGTGTCCAGCTGTTTTTGCAGCTGGATAGTGGCACTCAAGGCGTAACCCAGCAGGTCACACAGAAGGTGGCCCAGCATCTGATTGGCCCCGCTACATGTGAGAATATCAAACTGCTGAACAGTGTGATCCAGGTAGGATATCCCATGTACAACAAACAGTTGTTCCTCTATTTTTCTTTTTTCTTTTCCCAAAACAGGCTTCTGCCAGTATCACATTCTCTTGTTCTAATAAATATCTGAAGCTTTTGTCACAGTAAACATTTTTATTATTATATTGCATGTACATGTTCAGTTGAAAACAAGTTAAATTGCTTAAGGATTATTAAGTAGAATAGGTAACCATTTGCAAAAAAAGTATTATTAGTAAACATTAGTTAATGCACTAAAAGGACAAACAGCCATATTATAGTTATATGTATAAGTTAGTAAAACAATCTAACTGACTTTTACTAGTTGTTAACTCCATTTAGTAAAATGGTTGTTTTAAATGCATTAATATGTGTTAACTAAGAAATTAATATTGTGTAATATCACTAAATGCTTTTGTAGTTGTCATCACATTGACTTTAACCCTTTAACTACCCCACCAAGAAAAAAAATGTTTGGAGTGCATTTCTTATCTCCTAATGTCGCTAGTTAACGCACTCAATGCGTTTTTTTCAACACATCCCATAATTTCTAAAATATCAGCCTCCACTAAATGTTTGATATGTCGTTTTGGGGTAAAGGTACCATACTTACACTTCATATTTTTTAGGTTTTTCATAGTATATGACCAATTTATGTAAAAAAAATATTCAAAATAACACATTTTGAATACTAAATCACCTTTTAATTTAAAGTATGCCATAAAATATTTCAGATTCTCATTTAACCTGTTTTTTTTTTTTTTTTGTTTGTTTTTTACAAGAAAACCAAAATCAAGTGTAGTAATGCAATAGGATTATGTTTGTTTGTTTGTTTGTTTGTTTGTTTGTTTGTTTGATAATTTTTTTTGTCTGAAAACAAACAATGCTGTGTGTGTAAACCATTATTTAAAACAGTCATTCTTTAAATTACTTTCACAGTTATTATTTCGAAACAGTCAAAATTTGGTTATCCATTTGCTAGAGGAGCAGTCAAAGGGTTAAGTTAGCTGATGTTAGCAAATGAAACCTTACGGTACAGAATTAGCAAATAAAAGACCTATTAACAATTTAGGAATTTTCACAGAATTTTCAATTAAACTGTTTAAAAACAAATCTTTCGAAACGAGTGTATAGATAAAATAAATGGAGTAACTTAAATGCATTAAAAGTTTTTAAGATGAAGATGTTCTTGTACTTCAGGCTCATGTTCTGGAGAGCTCCAGGAATGGACGTGTTGGTGCAGTCGCTGTTCTGGAGTTCTGGCTTCAGGTTTTGACTGAACAGAGCCTCTGGTATCGAGACAGAGCTGTTCTCTTTCTTCTGGACCACATGTGCCGTTCTGCATTTCTTCACCAACAAGAGGAATGTCTCCAGAAAATACTCTACCAGCAGCACAAGGTTATTTAATAAGACGTAAACATGGATTTCATTGATTCAGAGTTAAAAGCTAATCTCTTAAAAATGTTTTTTGTTGGATTTGTGTTTTTAGAGCGCTTTAGGTTACCATGGAGACAAAGGTTTGCTCTCGTCTATTATGGGCTGGATAGTGGCAGGAAATGTTACTCCGTCTTTTATTGAGGGCAGTTCTCTCACAGGAGAGGTACAGTATGTGCGGGTTATTACTTTTACAGCACATCTTGATTTAAGGCATCACTTGCTTCATGCTTTTATTTTAAGGTGTGGTTTGCTTGGATGATCCTAAACATGGAGACAATGTTCGAGGAAGATTCCCAGCTGCGACGCTGTGTAGAGCATGAGCTGCTCTCAAACCCTGCGTGTACACCAGATCAGGCTTTGAAGGTACACAATCCTTCTGCTCATTCAGAAAATTGATCATGCACAGCACATCATTGTCTTTCTTTTTTCTAATGTAACACAAAACAAGACGTTTGGGAAAAAAATCTGGAAACCGGTAACAATTGACTTCCATAGTGTTTGTTTTTGTTTCTACTATGGATTTGAATGGTTTTATGTTTCCAACAATCTTCAACATATCATCTTTTAGGTTTATTTTTCAGTGAACTATCCCTTTTATTATTGTTTTTAATTTTCCAGATATTTAACTTTTTTACTAACTTGCAAGAATGATAAATTTATTCTTTTGATTTTAAGCCTCTAAAGAGCCAAGTTGGTTATTAAATATATCAATATGTATTGTTATTGTAAGACAATTGTGAGCAAAGGCTAAATATTTTGTTCTCTCAAAACACATCCACTGTCACCTTACATGTTATTTAGAGCAGAAGTGTCCAAACTTTTTCTTATAAAGGGCTAAAAACCCAATGGTAAGTATACAGTAGCAAGCTGTATTACTTTCAATTTGCCATAGGTCATTTCCTCATTTATTTCACAATATTTAAAAATAAATGAGGAAAAAATACTTAAATCATAATAACTTATGCATTATATATATATATATATATATATATATATATATATATATATATATATATATATATATATTATAATAGACTTATTACAATAAAAACAAACAATTCCTTTTATAACTATTTGGAGAACACTAGTCAAGCTGCATTTACCTTGATTTATGCATCGTTGTCTTCTACTATGGTCCCTATGCATCAAGTGACTGTATGTGGGGATGGCAGGCCAAATAAAAGGTTACAATGGGCCAAGTTCGACCTGTGGGCCCTAATTTAAGCATCTCTGGGTTAGAGGGTCTTATTGGTGACTTTTTAAATTTAGTATTTAAGAAGTTTAACGATTTTAAAAATAAAAAGCTTCATAACTATTAATCCTGTATAATTGTTAAGATAATAGAAGGGTCCCTTTAAATAAACGTTTACATGTATTGATGCAACAGACATGCAAATTCATTAGCCTCTTTATTGTTTATTTTGTCAGAAAGCCCAGGTGCGTCTCAAGCTTCAGGTTGTCCCATCACTGCAGAGGCTGATGATCTATCGCTGGGCTCAACAAGCTTTAGCCACTCCTGCAGACCATCCAATCCTGCCTTTGGTGTGGCAGAAATTCTTCCAGCTTTACCTCCGTCAACCTGGACCAGAGTTTGGGTGAGTTAAACAGAGAGACAATCTGTCCATGAGATAAATGTTACTTGTTTGGCTTGGGATTTTTTAATACCCGCCTATACGGAATCAGACATGGCCATATATAAACATACAGTTAAAGGCAGAATTATTTACCCTCCTGTGGAATTTGTATTCCTTTTTTTTTTTTATATATATATATATATATATTTTCCCAAGTGACTGTTTTTAAAATTTTTTAAAGCTATTTTAAGGTCAATATTATTAACCACCTTAAGCTTTTCTCAATTCTGTCTAGAGAACAATCCACTGCTGTCCAATAACTTGTCTAATTTTCATTACTTGCCTAATAAATCAAAAACTCCTAGTTCCTTTATTTATTAATTTTTCTTCAGCTTAGTCCCTTTATTCATCAGGGGTTCACCACAGCGGATTGAACGCCAACTTGTCCAGCATATGTTTTACACAGCCGATGCCCTTCCAGTTGCAACCCAGTACTGGGAAACATCTATACACACATACACACACATACACTACGAACAATTTAGTTTATTCAATTCACTTATAGAACCTGAAGGAAACCCACACCAACACGGGGAGAACATGCAAACTCCACACAAAAATGCCAACTGACCCAGCTTGGACTCAAACCAGCAACCTTCTTGCTGTGAGGCGACAGTGCTAACCACTGAGCCACCACCCTAAAACTTACCCTAAAACTTATGTTTAAACCTTTAAATTGCACTTTAGGCTGAATATTAATGACTTAACAAGTAAAATATTATGTACTGTCATCATGGCAAATACTTAATAAAATCATTATTGGAAAGTAGTTAAGTAAAACAATTATGTTTTTAAAAGTTATTTTCAACATTAAGCAGCACTAGGAAACATTTAAAAATAGTTATAACTTCACAGGAGGGCTAATAATTTTGACTTAAACTTTATGAATAAATTTATAGTTAATTTGTAATTCTAATTGTAAAATTGTTGATAAATATGACTATTAATAAACCATAAACTAAGATTTTCAGCTCAAATAACTAATTATAACTAATTAATGATGTACTAATATAACTAACTAGCTGCTTTTTTAGTTAGTAAGGTAGTGGATGGGTTTAAGTATTGGATGGGATTAGGGATGTATACAATCATACTTTTTAAGTACTAATAAACAATGAATAATTTAATAGTCAGGTAATAAGTCAGTAGTTTATAGTTGGTACTTAAACTAAGTGTACTTAAACCAAAATTTCTAAACATGCACTTTTGCAATATTTGTGTATATGACACATTTCTTTGAATTAATTTGTATGACACACAGTATATGTGATTTGCATATATTGCCATGCATCAGATTTCTTTATGGGTAATACTTAGCAAGACTGGCAAACTTTATGTATACCTTCATGGCATTCTAATTCACTTCAGTGCATTTGTTACACAACCCTTGTTGAATTTAAAGTACGTGCTGTACTGTCAAGTAAAGATGTGTGCACTGTTCCCTTTTCCATCTTTTTATTCCTTCCTCCCCCTCACATCCATTTTGCACTCCTTTCTCATTGAGGATTTCACTCATTTTTTTCACCAGATTTTACATGTTTGTGTAACAGTGCTAACGACTCATAAGGCTGATGTTCTAGTTTTTTGACTAATATTGCTTCTCCTTCACTTTTGTGTTAAACAATGTTACAGATGCCGTTTTATAAAGCTATTTGTCCGTTACAAAATAAAGATTTGTTTTTATAAGATAGCTGTCTGGAATACTTTTTAAATATAAGGAATTATTCTCAGCTCAAATCATTAATTTGTATACAATTTTGGTTGAAAACTAGATAATTGCTCTGTGTCAGGGTCCTGATCAATCACTGAGTGTTTACTCTGTACTGAAATCCAGCAGACTGTACATTTAGTTTTGTTTAGTTTTTTAGTGAGTCATCTACTTGTGAATGTGGAGTACAATGTTTGGTTTAATTATGGATGATGATGATGATCATGATAACACTTTATTATTTGACATCATCAGGCTGGAGGTGAAAGGTTGCATTGGCAGGCGTTATTTCCATAGTGCGGCCCATCTGTCCTTGCTGAAGAGCCTCAGACAGCGGCTGGTGGAAGTGTCTGATTTCCACCACGCCGCCAGCAAGGCTCTGAAAGTGCCCTGCGCTAGTGGAGATTCCGGTGATGGTCTGCTGACCCCCGGGACGCCCATCACACAGTACATGACCTCTCCTGACCTGCACACTGAGATCGTGCGGTAATGTCTACAGTTTACCTCTCTCTGCATCTGATGTTCTGTTTACTGTTAAGTTGAGTCGTGTTAAACTAACAGGGTGTATGCAGGGTCTTAAAGTCTTAAATCTCAAAAACTAAATTTTAGGCCTTAAAAATTCTTAAATTTACTGAAATATTGTGTTGTAGGTCTTAAATCTTTTTTTTAAAACAGGTCTTAATTTTCCTTTGTTCTTGTATAGCTACCCAATCTGGCCAACACATCCAGTCACCAAAAATTCATCTCGAAATTTTTATCTCGAAAAATTCATCTCTCATAAAACTTGTAACTTTTTATTCAAGAATGTAGTTTTTACCTCTATTTACCATAATGGTTGAAATTTCTTCCTGACAATAACATTTGTTTAAAAGTTCCCCATGTATTTGCTGATGAGGAATCTGACCTGGACAGACTGCTGTGCATATATTTAGTTTATTTATTATAGTTTAAAAAACTTTTTTTTTGTTTGATTGTTTGTTTTTTCATTTATTTTAAAGACAGGTTATGTTGAAAAAGTGTATGTATATATTTAGAGCTTGCTTGTTTTGAAAAAACTATTTAAAAAACAAATAAAAAAAGTCTGAATAATCTAAAATATTAAATTTGTTTAATTATTAAATTATTATATTGTATTATTACATTATTTTTAAAAAGTTATGAGCCGTTCAAAAAGCGTTTCGCCCTGTATCAGTATAAAATTTCAATCTTAATGGTCTTAAAAATATCTTAAATTTAACTTGCTGAAACCTAAAGAAACCTTGATTAAGTGATGAAGTAAAACATCAAAAAGAAACATGTAATACTATTAGCAAGCTGTTTGTACATCTGTTTGTTTTTTGTTTTTTTTTTAAATCAGAAATTAAAAACAAACTGCATGACCATGTTAGATTTGATGTTATTAATAAATGGAACTTTTATCATTCATCCAGACGCATTTTGTTTAATGTCAGATGTCTTATTGTTCAGGCTCTTCACTGTGTTTGCCTTGTGGTTGGATGATGAAAACCTTCAGAAGCAGGAAATTTACTTGCCCTCTTTGCCAAAGCAGTATGACACCCATCGCCTGGCCAAAATTATGCAGCGCCAGCAGGTGAGGCTTTGCTGGAGTCCAGCACAGGGCAAATGCTTGAGTTCAGATGGCAAAGTTGAAATCCAATCTGATTAGTGTGCTTCATTAGCATGCCCTGTTATGTTTGAAAGTCAGAACACACAATCTACATAAAGATAATACGGTGGTGTTTCATGGCTTATAATCTATCTAGATTAAGTAGATCATTTTCAGTAAATATTGTCATGAGATTCAGAAGCGAATGTTTTGTAGATTCAGTATTTTTTAGATCTGTTTAGAGCATAAGTTAAAATTAAATGGACACTTTTGAAGGAGATTGTTTTGTTTATTATGTTATTCATACTAGTGGATATCTAGACTCAAATGACATGAATGGGCAAAAACATGGAATATTATTTTTAATCACCAATTTTTGGCTTAAGGATTAAACTGTTATGAAAGATGTACCAGAACAAGTTGATATGCCAATTTGATTTGTTTGTGTAAAATGTTTTATAACAATAATGAACTTATTCCTTCAAAGGAAGTGTTCAAAGTGCATTTCCTAATATTTGCTATTGTCGAAAAGCACTAAATGTGCACTGTAAAAGATATGTAGATGTAAAATTGTGACAGTTATGGTCTCAGAGAAATTCACTAAAATATAATGTCTACTATAATGGACAATTTTATTCCTGGCTCTCAGGAGAATAGTATTTTAAATAATCCTTTTAAATGAGGCTTGTCAATCTCTCTATATTTAGCAAGTTGTAGAATCACAAGTTTGAGGAGAGTACGTTTATTTTAAGTGATCTATTTTATGTGTGTGGTTAAGTGTTATTATAAGTGTTTCTGAAAGAGATCATGTGCTCATGCAGGGTAGATTTCTTTAAAAAATAGTAAATAGATACAGTAAGATACTTTTAAAATCTAATTTATTCCTGTGATAACATATATCAACTATAGGCAATTTGCAAATCTCATCTACGTTTTCTTTTATCATAACACATAAATAAATGGAAAAGTATTTTGTAAGTATTTGTTTTATTTATAAATATTTTATATACACATTTTCAGATGTTTTTCACACAAAACCTAATGAAATGTGAACTGAAGGTATTTCTATGTGTGACTCCATCTTTAGGAGGTGTGGATGGAGCATGTGGATATCGAGCGAGTCCAGCACGAGCTGCAGGAAGTGCTCGATCTGTGGTCAAAGGTCAAGAGTGAACCTGCAGTCTCACAGAACAGCAGCTCCTCCATCTTTACCGACTTCATCAACCCTCTGGCTGGTACTGAGCCACACTTTAGATAGATAACTCCCTTTCAGATGTCTGTGTTCATAACAGCTTCAGGCATATTTAATTCAAGCATGCATTACTTAAAACATTTGCAATTCAGGAGCTGCATTATGTCACAAAAACACTTTTGTCTAGTTCAATTTATAGTTTTGAATAATGAAAATATGTTAATCTTTTGGTGTTTAATATTCAGAGCTAACATCAAAGCAATTCGTAAGAATTCATTTCACAACAGATGTTACTTTTGACATCAATATCATGTTCCTCTACTGTTGTTTTGCAGCAAGGGAGCGTATTCTCACTCACCTGAGAAAGCATGATGCCCCTCAGGGGTCGCTGCTGCCAGTGCCCATGAAAGCTCCAGTGCCTGATATTCCCACTGCGAGCCTAACTGATGAGAAAATCTCCACCACCTTAATTCAAGAGGACCTCACTAAGCTCCAGCATCAAGCCAAGTAAGATTTAGTACATCAGCACTTGCTAGTTGCATTCCAAATGACACACTATACACTTTAACACTACTTATACACTCAACCGTGTATTGCATGAGTTTAGAGTAATGTCAAATGAAACAGTAAAGTTTTTACTGAATGAAAATTCTATTCCATTTCCCAGTTGACGTTTAAATAATGTACTATTGGGAGGTGGTGTAATCGACTACGTTGGAGAATTTTGCTTGCACAATCTAAAATAAAATCATGCAAACCTTAGCGCCCAAAAGCTCCTACCCTTCTAAAGCTGCATTTTTCTGATTGCTTAAAGTCATAAACATTATTTTCTTACTTATTCAATTGAAAAACATGCGTCATCTGCTTTGCAAAAAAAAATTTCTTACTTAGATTTTTTGTCTTGTTTCTAGTACAAATATCTAAAAATTCTTAAAACAATATGCTTTTAGACAATCAAAAAATAATGTCATGTTTTGAAAATATGTCAGAAAATATGTCAGTAATATGTCAGTTTTTCCCTAAAACAAACAAAACAATCTAGCAATGTGGTAAGCAAACTGATATTATGTCAAAAGGAAAAACAAGATTAATTTGCTTACCCCATTGGCAGATTATTAGGGACCGAGCACCGAAACGGTGCGTAGGCCCTATTGGAATTGCTCCGTTTATTATTATTCTTCTTCTTCTTCTTCTTCCGCGGAATGAATCGCGGTTTTGAGGGGCTAAACATGCCCGAAAACTCACGCAACTTTGCACACGCCTCAGAAGTGGCGAAAATTTACGTTTGTTATGGGCTTCTGAAGTGGGCGTGGCAAAATGACTCGACAGCGCCACCTAGAAAAATTAAACGGACGAGCCCCCGATCCACGAATCACGCACATGCACGAAAATTGGCACACACCTCAAACACACCAAAACATACGAAAAAGTCTCTTGAAGCCATATCTCAAACACAACAGGAAGTCGGATATTTTTAACTTCCTGCGGCGAAAAAGTGGCGTTTTTGCCATTTCCAGGCGTTGTATTTTAACGAACTCCTCCTAGGGATTTTATCCGATCAACACCAAAATTGGGTTTTGTCATCTAAAGGCCTTGGCGATGTTAAATTGCGAAGCTTTAGAGTTTTCATCGATGGGCGTGTCCGTGGTGGCCTCGCAAACTTTGACGATTCGCCACAAAAGAGGAAGTCGTTATAACACAGGCATGCATTATCTGATCTGCCTCAAAATTCATACGCTTGATAAGCGTCCTGACCTGAACACGTTTACATGCCAATATCCAGATACAGTTACAGCGCCACCTGCTGGCCACAGGAAATGACATGATTTACGGAATTATAAACTCCTCCCACAAATTTTATCGTATCAACACCAAAATTGAGTGGTGTTATCTGAAAGCTCTAGCGATGATATATTGTGAAGATCTAGAGTTTTCGGAGAGGGGCGTGTCCGTGGCGGTATGACAAACCTCAACGCTTCGCCATGGAACAGGAAGTCCTTATAACACAACCACACAATGTCCGATCTGCCTGAAACTTCACATGGTTGATAAACGTCATCTCTTGACACATCCACATAACAATATTGAAGTGGGCGTGGCAAAATGACTCGACAGCGCCACCTAGAAAAATTAAATGGACGAGCCCCCGATCTACGAATCACACACATGCACAAAAATTGGCACACACCTCAAACATGCCAAAACATACGAAAAAGTCTCTTGGAGCCATATCTCAAACCCAACAGGAAGTCGGATATTTTTAACTTCCTGTGGCGAAAAAATGGCGCTTTTGCCATTTCCAGGCGTTGTATTTTAACGAACTCCTCCTAGGGATTTTATCTGATAAACACCAAAATTGGGTTTTGTCATCTTAAAGCCTTGGTGATGTTAAATTGCGAAGCTTTAGAGTTTTCATCGATGGGCGTGTCCGTGGCGGCCTCGCAAACTTTGATGATTCGCCACAAAACAGGAAGTCGTTATAACTCTGGCATGCAATATTCGATCTGCCTCAAAATTCACACATTTAATAACAGTCCTGACCTGAACAGGTTTACGTGCCGATATCCAGTTACAGCTATAGCGCCACCTGCTGGCCACAGGAAATGACATGTTTGAGACTCTAACAAACTCCTCCCACAAACTTTCCCGTATCAGCACCAAAATAGAGTGGTGTCATCTGAAAGCTCTAGTGATGATATATTGTGAAGATCTAGAGTTTTTGCAGAGGGGCGTGCCTGTGGTGGCATGACAAACCTCAACGCTTCGCCATGGAACAGGAATTTCTTATAACTCAACCACACAATGTCCGATCTGCCTGAAACTTCACATGGTTGATGAAAGTCCTCTCTTGAGCACATCTACATAATAATATTGAGTCAGAGTCATAGCGCCACCTGCTGGCTGAAGGAATTTTGGCTTGTAACTCGGCCACACAATGTCAGATCTGCCTAAAATGTCACATGGTTGATAAGATTCCTCTCCGGAAGACATCTACATGCCAATCTTAAGTCACAGTTATAGCGCCACCTGCTGACAGATGGTAGTTTGCAGTATAACTCAACCACACAAAGTCCGATCTGCCTGAAACATCACAAGGTTGATGAAAGTCCCCTCCTAAACACATCTACATAACAACATTGAGTCTGTCATAGCGCCACCTGCTGACAAAAGGCAGTTTGGCTTATAACTCAGCCAAACAATGTCCGATCTGCCTGAAACTTCACATGGTTGATAAGTTTCCTCTCCTGAAGACATCTACATGCCAATCGTGAGTCACAGTTATAGCGCCACCTGCTGACAGGAGGAAATTTGGCATAAATCTTTTATTTTCTCAGATTTTTTTAATATATCGGCTTAAATTATTACTGTTCGCTGTTCTCTGTCATCCTGAGGCCACCGGGCGGCGGTGAGCCCGGGTGCGAGGTCCCTATCATCGCTGCTTGCAGCTTTAATTTTGTTTGATTTTAAGGAAAAACTCACTTAATTTTGGCATATTATTTCCTGAAACAACTTTAAAGTGCACTTATTCTTAGACATTTCAGTGTGAATGTACTACTTACACTATTTAATTTACAAAATGGTGCAGAAGAGTGTAAAGTATGTGAATTAAGCTGTCTCCCTTCGAATTATGTGTTAGTTGATAAAGTGGTGTCCAGATTTTCTTAAGCCCTATTCAGATCACACGATTTTGTCATGATTTTGTTATGATTTCCTTTAAGTAGAGTGTCATGGAGAGTCGTAAACAACAAATGGGCGTTAAGACACAAGATTCAACCGTTTCTTCTTGTGTTCACGACAACCGATACCATACATGCGATGCCTCACGACACCATTGCAGAAAGTTTAGCATTTAAATTTTTTTCCCATGTTTTTCACAACGAGTTCTATCCCATGGCCGACAATAGGAGCACATCATTTCTCAGTAATATCTGCGGGTGCTGCCCGTGGTCAGGTAATCAAAATACAGGCTGCATATTTACATATGGGTCGGTCTCGGGTGGATAAGATCAATCATTGGTTATGCAAACTTTAACTACTTTCTCTAAAATATTAAAGTCTTTTAAGCCATTTTATTTGACAGACTGGCCCAAATACGCTGACATCTCCATTCTAACAATGAGTTTCTGAGCTCTCTCAGCCTTCCGACCGAGTTCATTCTCCCGAGGTAATCTGGGATCACATTCAGTGCTGTGAATACATTGTAAAAGCATTTCCAGCTTATTCAAATTACTTGATTAAACTAAATAAATTGAAACTCACCAGCAATGTGTGATTTTGGCAATAAACATGAAAAGTTTGATATAACTTTCTCTGAAACTCTGAATAATTCACTTTAATTTTATTTAGGCTAGACTTTTTTATTTAAGAAATCAGTTCGTGCTTTGGCACTATAGTGGACTGGTTTTGAAGCGCTTCACCTCAGTTGTTATTCGTTATTCTTGTTTATCTTGTACACAACCAAACAACACAGAATATATTAAAATTATTTTATTATTTTCCAAGAAAAATATAAGAATAATTTTTTAGTTTGAGACCATCCACCACTAATCTGTGCGGTGGATGATTTGTTCCGCTCCGTGGAAAATAATGATTTAATTAATGCTTCACTGTAATTGTTGTATCACAAATCTCTGTCATATATTTGCAATTTTTTTAATATCTCATTATTTTGTCTTGAGCGTCTGATATTTACTTACTGCTGATGTGCTTTAATTTTCTGTCTCACTTGCCGCAAGTTCAGGCGAGGGTGTGTTTAATAAGCAACCCATGGCTGGAAAATATACATTAAGATTTTTTTTTTAATATCTCAATCAAGACAAAATCGCAAAATCTGACACAGTGACTTTCGTAACCATCAACAAAAATCGTGTGATGTGATCGGGGCTATAGTGTAAGTTAAGTAAGTCTGTCGTGCCGTTATTAACTGGAGCTTCTCAGATTGCTTAGTGATAAATTATATCTGTATCTCTGTAGAGTATGTGCTGAATGATTTTGTAAATCACAGTTGCATGTTCTTCTCAGGTTGGCAACGGTTCGGGAAACCCAGCAGGTTGCTCTAGACAATGAACTGTTGGAGGTGTTGCCACAGCTCTACATAAACCGGGAAGACCAGCTGTCAATGCAGTTGGAGTGCCGTGGAAAAAGTGGACAGCCCTGCCAAGGTCCTGCAAATATCACTGTTAAGGTGAACAAATACCTGTGCTTTGAAAAGTTTTGAAATGTACTCTTAAAATTTTTATATCCTAGATTATAGTCATTTAGCAAAGCCAAATAAATTTTGGTTTATTGGAAAATTTATGGGGCTTCATGTAATGTAATGTGTATTTATATAGCGCATTTATTGTGTATGGCCATACACCTAAAGCGCTTCACAATCATTAGAGGGGTCTCTCCAAACCACCACCAGTGTGTAGCATCCACTTGGATGATGTGACAACAGCCACAGGACAACGGCGCCAGTACGCTCACCACACACCAGCTATTAGTTGAGTGGAGAGACAGTGATACAGCCAATACAGTGGATGGGGATGATTGAGAAGCCATGATGGTTAGAGCTGAGAGGCCAGGACACCGGGGTTACACCCCTCCTCTTTACTAGAAGTGCCATGGCATTTTTAAGGACCTCGGTTCAATGTCTTATCCGAAAGACGTCACCCACTGACAGTATAGTGTCCCTTTCACTTTTACTAGGGCATTTAGTACCCACACAGATCGCAGGTTGAGCTCCCCCTGCTGGCCTCACTAACACCACTTCCAACAGCAACCTGGTTTTCCCATGTGGTCTCCCATCCAGGTACTGACCAGGCTAAAACTGCTTAGTTTCAGTGAGTATCCAGTCATGGGCTGCAGGGTGATATGGTGATATGGTAGCTCAGTGGGTAGCAAGATCGCCTCATAGCAAAAAGGTCACTTGTGCGAGTCTCAGCTGGTCAGTTGGCATTTCTGTGTGTTCTCCCTGCGTTCACTTGGGTTTTGTCTGGGTGCTCTGGTTTCCCCCACAGTCCAAAGACATGCCGTACATTAAAAATCCTGAAGGAAACTGAGTGAGTTAGCTCTTTAAAACTTTTGTTTGTGAGAAGACATCAAGTCATGTCCGAATTCAAATTCTGCTTCACTTCCTGTCTCTCTCCAGAGTTTCCTTTTTCTGGTTGATTATCAAAAGCAGCTATATTTTTGACTAATATTTTACGCTTTTAATGGCATTCCTACCAAGAAGATATTCCGGTAGTTATGACTAAAGCGCTCCCTCTGTTTTACATGATTAAATCATCATATTGTCTCAGACGTCTGTCTGAAATCAGTTTTACGAGATGCCGTTGTGCAGAAATGCTGCCTTCTTTGCATGATAAGGCAGTGAGGCGATTGCCCAAGCAAAGTCAGCTAGAAAAAAACAAAACAAAAAAACAAACAAACTCTTAACTACTTTGGAACAAGTCAAAGGGAAATGATGACAGAGTTTTAAATTTTAGGTAAACTATCCTTTTAAATGTTTTTATTTAAAAAAAGTAGGAGGTTTTTAAGGATTTTGAATGTTAAAATGGGGGGGTTCTTTGGGAAAAAGGTTGGAAATCAGCTAAGCTAAAAGAATTGGACTCTGGATGTGTGTTTGTTGCAAATCTTTAGTGTCAGGCTTAGTATATCATAAGCAAAATGAGTTCACTGTCAGTGGTTTGTCACTTACATTGTGACATATCCAGAGAAGACAGAATTGCTGATTGTGTTTTTCATTTTCTTCACTAGTCTTACTGTTTGTGTCTAGCATAGACATGGTGTTGAAATAAAAACTGAGAATATAAAAGTTATTTTGAAAAGAATTAGTTTTTAAAAAATCCTACATCTCTGTCATTGTGTGTTTCAGTACTCAAGTATGCACAAACTGGAGCCGGTGCAGAATCAGATCCAGTCTCTGAAGAGTGACATTAAACAGCTGCAGGCCGATGGAATCAAAGCTCCTCCTCAGAGTCTGGCTGAGGCGGCCGTTCACACTGAGAACTTCATCACGTCAGTACACTCTCATTCAGTTATCTGAGTTACTTTTACTCAATGTAAAGCTCATGTCTTCTTTTTCAGGGCCTTGGTTAATGTTTTCAAGCAAAATCCATCCCCTGGTGTACTGAAGGTGGGCATCACGGCTTTCTATCAGATAGTGTCGTTTGTGTGTGAGGACACACAGAGACATCCACCAACCCGCCAGTTCTTCACATCCTGCATTGAGATCCTCGGCCAGGTATCCCTTCTACCCTAGTGTTCAGAAAAAAATTATTTCAGTGCATTATTTTAGTCACAGCTTCACCAATTTTTCATTTAATTAGCTGTTTTATACATGGAATGATTCATTTATATGGTAAATTAAAGTGAATAGCTGTTTATTTTTTGAACGCTCACCTCTTACCTGTTGCTTTTGATGCAGATTATATAAAGTGCATTTTTGACTGCAGGTCTTTATTCGGGACGTCCAATCAGAATGTAAACACATGCTAAAGACTATCCTACTCAACAGACGTCTGTGTAACCTACTGTCACCATACTTCACCCCGAACGCCTCTCCCTCAGAGCTGGTCTCTCTGTATGAAGAGGTGGTCAACACCCTCCACATCGACAGCGGTGATGTCATATTCATGCTCCTCACAAAGGTCATTTGTATTTATTGAATCATGTTGTAAAAGTTTGCCACACAGGTTGCATTTACAGCAAGATAAAATGTGATGAAAAAAAACAAAAACTATTTTGCTAATGCTAAAAGTCATGTGCGGAGAAGATGGTGACTTTTTTTTTTTTATAATTATATAAAGTAGTGCCGTCATACTCCTTAATAGAGCTGTAGCTGAAAATCATTAATGATTCTGATATTTACTCCAGCTAAATTTTTTGTGTTTATTTTGCTATCGCACATTGCTATTATTTTGGTAAACAATTAATTCATGCTCATCCACTGAAAAAAAAGTATGGCTGTTTCCGAAACCACCTTCTACTCAGTAGGTACTGCATTTGAATTTAAATGTACTACTCGGCCGTTTGAAAAGTGCGTTCTAACAGTATAAATATAAGAAGTATGAATGGAATTCGGATGTACTACATCTGCCATTTTGTCATGGTCTCGTGACCTACCTGTGTCAGTTGCGTCGCTTCACTCCCATTCATAAATTTGCTCGCGGGGCATCATGGGATAGTGCAGCATGCATGGGATGCGTTCTTTAGAATCTCGCCGGAGGTAGTACATCATCAGGGTACTTCTCGCATACTGATTTTCTAATTCTTTGAATTCGGACATACTACTCGGCTCGCAAACTGATTTTAGCGTACTATATAGTATTACTATAAGTATGCGGTTTCGGACGCAGCCTATGTTTGGGAAATCTTCAAAGTCTGACCATTTGCTTCCATGTTTGAAGTCATAAAACATGGCCATAAAAACATTCTTGAGTGTTAGACGTCTTGCAACGGTTTAACTGCTTTAAGAACAGCAACAATACTTACAACACTATTTAGCTGTGTCATGTTTTCCAGTTGCAAAAATAATCTGTTCATAGGTTCCAACTCATCCTTCTTGAGGCTCTTTGACGGGGGGTCCAAAATCCCTACTATATAGTATGTGAAAAAACATATGTGAGCCAAGAAGTGTGTTTGATTTCATAGTATTCGAAAAACAGTATGTAAGTAGTACCCGGATGACCTATTACTTCTGCATCCAATGGACACTGTACTATCCCATTAGGCCAGGTGAGAGAATTTAGGGATTAGTATTTAGTGAAAATGATAAAATAACGATAACATTCAAATTCTTCTCATACTACATAGAAGTTTCTTTTATTACAGTCAAATTCTGTGACATCTACTCAAGTATTTGCGATTTCAGACGCAACTTTGAATTTGTACATTGTGTTTTGCTGATTTTCCCATTGGGAAGTGAAACTGAATAGTCTGCTGTTTGTTTGCAGTTTGACTTGTTTCAGTGGTTGTCGACGACCCAGCCTCCGTTCTCTGAGCGTAGTCGTCTGATGACCGTCATCCATCAGGCTCTCTGCACATGTGGGCTGGAGCCTGAGCCCGAAGTCCTCATGCCATTCAACATCTTCTGCAAGCACTGGACTGAACTGCTCCTCTACCAGTTTCCTGACCACTACAGCGACTTCCTCCGTCTCCTCATGCAGAGTATGTCTTTTCTTACCATTGTTTGACCCAGACAATTTTATTTCAGTAGTTTTGTGATCAATTATCAAAATGAAACCCTTTAGACCAGTGATTCCATGTTCTTGTGAGCTGATGAGTTGAATCAGGTGTGTTTGTAAACATGTAAAACATGAGCTGCATCCTAAATGGCACACTATGCACTATGTACTTATGCTCAACAGCATAGTATATGTAGTGTCATCACAAATGGAACTCTCATGTTTTTTTACTAAGTGGAAATTCAAACCGTTTCACTAATGACGTTTGACTGTTGTTAAATGAGTGAATTAAATAACCAAATTACCTAATAATAGCTGCCATGATTGTAATTGCATTCACCATCGGGAGGCGCTATAATCACTCTCATAGGAGAATTTTGCTTTCACAATCCAAAATAAATACAGTAATCCAACATGAGCGCTTCTTCTGCTACTTGAGCAAAGTAGCGGCTGTTGAGTTCGTTAAGTGTCCATCACTCCATACTTTGGTATTTAAAGTGGAATTACTATTTTTAGAGTTTTCAGTGTAAAGTATATGATTTAAGACGCACATATGCTGTTTAAGGGGAGAATCATTGCTGTAGATCAGAGATGGGCAACTTCTATCCTGGAGGGGCCACTGTCCTGCAGAGTTTAGCTTCAACTCTAATCAAACACACTTGCTTGTAACTTTCTATTGATCTTGAATACATTGATCAGTTTGTTGAGGCATGTTTGATTTAGGGTTTTAGCAAATTTCTGCTGGACAGTGGGTGGCCCTCCAGAATGAAAGTTGCCCATCTCTGCTTTAGACAACAACAAAAAAAATGTTTACTTGAATAAAAACTTGTATTAGTGGAATGTTTTAGTCATTATTAACTTGTTTGGGCCAACAGGGCCTGAACAAATTTCCAAGGGGGCTTTAAGATGACATACAAGTATGTAAAATAACTAAAAACAACAAATGTCTTATTTTTTGCAATATTTAATTGATATTTTTTGCCATTGTTGATTTTTTTAAATATAAAAAAGCACAAACTTTTTTTCTTTGTTTATATTAGTTTTATTTTGAGATTTAAGTTTAGTTTTTTTTTTTTTTTTGCTTTTGTTTTGAATGTAGGACATTAGTCAGGAAGTGAAGTTGGTAAGAGAAAAGGGGCTGGATTAGTCAAGAGTCTGTGAGTCGGGCTCTGAAATCTTAATGCCTGAAGCACAGTTGCACTAGAGGCTATTAATGCAGAGGACTTTCTAATGTATTTTTAATGTGAACATAAATATTTGCATCTCTTACTTTAATCTGTGTCTGCATAGTGGCCTTTTTAAATATTGATGTCCACAGTGAGGGAGGCCAGGAGTAAATAAAAAAGTGGAGAACCACATAGCATTAATCTGCTTGATATAATGTTTTAAATTGCAGTTTGTTCTTAAGATGAACACAATTGATTCCTGCAGGCTCTTCCGATCAGCTTCTTAGTCCTGACTGTTGGAGAACGTCACTGAAAGCTCTGGGCTGTTCTCCTCAAACTAAGAATAAGACAAACAAATCCCGCTCCATGCTCCTCTCCCCTCAACAGGTAACATTAAACACTCCATTTTAATTTTACATTCTTAAAAATTAAAAGCAGATCATACTGATATTACTTTGTTTTGCTTTAGGTGGATGAAACAATCGAGTGGCTCTCAAAGTACTTCCTAAAGCTCCGACTGTCTAACGGGGACTTCAGGAGCTTTGGTCTTCTTTCAAAATGGGGGCCATACATTGAGGAAGTCAAGGTGTTTTGGGAAGATCTGATTACCTACGTCATTGATCTGGAACTAAACCATTGCGGCAAAGAACCTGTAGGAAGTCCAAGACTGCTCAAAGGTGCAAATATTTATTACACTGTTAGGCATAGCAACTAAATGTATAATGCACAAACGTTTGGGCTCAGTAAGAATATATTACAATATATTCTGGATAAAGGGATAGTTCACCCATCATCATTTTATCATTCTTCACTTGTCACAAACCTGTTTGAGTTTTGCTCTTCTGTTAAACACAAAAGAGGATATTTTAAGGAAAGCTGGAAATCTGTAACCATTGACTTTCAAGAGTATTTGTTTGTTCTACTATAGAATGGAGGAACTATGACGTCACCTTGTAGGCTAATCAGCTGCTAGCATAAAACTGGTTCCCTCGATAAAATCCCCATAAGATTTTCCTATAGGCTTTTTGATGTCTGCAAATAATAAGCTCTGTGTTCAAACACTGTTCATTACACTTACACGATTTGTCCAACTGAATAATCCCCACACGAAAATGCAACTTTTAGCACTTTTGAGTCCTAAATGAAAATGTAAGAAGTGAAAAGCTAACATTAGGCTACAAACGGACTACAGTGTTTTTAGGGCGCTCGCCTGTGACGTCAGCACCACCCAGCTAGAGAAAACTTATCAAGCTTATTTTTAGAAATGTGCCTTTTGGATAGTTTTCCTGTGAGAAATACATTACAGTTTTGCTTTACAGTGGTTATAAAAGTTTTCAAACACATACTGTATGTTTTATAAATGTGCCTATTATTATCATAAGACATATGTTTAAATAGGTTTATTGCACGCCTACAGCCCGCTTACCTAAGTGAAACGCCTGCAAGTCCCTCCATGGATAAGAGAACAACATAAAAAAAACATTCACGAAGTACAGCGTAAAGCAGCACATGCATTCACATATGCTATATATTGTTTTTTAAAGTGAGCGTAAATATTGCCGTTATGATGGCATTAAATGTGTTCAGATGAAAAAAAAACAAACAAACGAAAGAAAAAATCATTAGATTAATGTTAATGTAAAACAATCAAGTTAAAGCAGGAAAGAGACAGGTTGTATTATGGGAAGCAGTATCTTCTTAAAATAGCTTTATTAAAATAAATGATCAACAAATGAATCTGTCAAGATGTCTCTACAGGTTCAATTCAAGTTTAAGTGAAGGCTGCACACAATATGAATTCCCAATTCGAAAAATACTAAAAACTATTAAATACTATTTATGGATATAATTAACCAATCAGCAGACAAATCCAAATGCCCAACACGAGCTGTAAATTTAAAGCATACTGCATTCCAGACAGTGCAGCTGAAGGACGTGTAATGTCTCTGACGTCGCCTGTAGTCCTATTTAGCAACTTGATAGCAACCATATTTTAAAAGAAGCGTAACCGATTAAAAAAATTAAAAGTGTTGTGTTACTGATGTGTTTTATGTCGTAGAATAAAACATGACAGTATCTTGAGTTAACCTTATTTAAGCAATTTAATCAAAATCCCATTCAAAAAACCTATTGACATTGGGACGAGGAAACCGGAACTGCTAAAATGCTTACTCTCCTACGGGTTCTTGCATACAAATTGTCTTCATATTTCCCCCCTCTAAGGAAATCAGTGGTTCCAGGATTTCAGCTGTCTTCAGACTATCTTCTTTCTTTTAAAGATTGGAATACAGTAATTTATTAGATTAGATATATGCTATCATAAGAATAAATGACATGTTTTAAACTTTAAAATCAAATCATGTGTATTACTCAATGTTACTGTTTTTTGGCACATATTTTATCTGATTAATGCAGTCTTGTTGAGAACAGGAGCATTCCTGAAATATTTGTAAAAATTTGACTGACCCCAAAGTTTTGACCAAATTGAATGTGTCAGTAATGCATAGTAACTGTATGTATAACCTTTGTTTACATGCCTTTAAATTCTCTTTAATGCAGCTCTGGAGAACCTGCATAGAAAAATGGCCAAACTCTTTGAGCCGTGGATTTTGGTGCTTGACACTGACAACACTAGGTATACTTTGATGTGACTCAGTGCTTTGGTTATTATAGCTCTGATGGTGACAGAAGTGATGAGTAACAACTCTCTTGTGTGTGTCACAGTCATCCTCGCTGTTCTCCATGGCTTGAATCAGACGCCGCAGTTGCAGCGAGCTTAGTAGGCTTATATACACGCTTGACAGAGACTTTACATGAGAAATTCAAAGGTAAACACTCAGGGGAACACGCCAACATGCTTATGTGATGATTCATTCAGGCGTTTTCTGTCTGATTTTTTTTGTACACACAAAAAATAAAATTATTTAGAAATGGTATCTGTTATCTGTTATCATGTTATCTTTGTTTAGTTGTTAATGCATCTTATTTTTGGTGCAGATCGCTTGTTGCCAGGACAGAGAGGAGCTCTGTGGCTTCATCTCATGTTTTACTGTGAGACCTGCACTTCTCCTAAAATGCCAGAGTATCTGCTGTACACCTACCACACTGAGTACAGCCGTTTGCCCTGGAAGGACCTGCATCCAGATCAGACACTAATGAACCAGTTTTTCAATGTAAGAGACTGACAATATCTCTAAATCAAGAGTATCATGTCAATCAAATATTTTATTGTGGACCTAAAGATATATATTAATATACTCTATTCCAATCTTTCCAGAAGGTTCTTAATCCTGCATGAAAAAACAAATATAGAAACCCAAGAATTCGTTATGATGTAATCACTGTAAAAACATTAAGTCTTGAAATAATACATTCCAAAACACACTAAAAGACATTCAATTGTATTGGTTTTAATGGTTAAAAGTTTAATTGTATTTTTTGTAAAAACCAATAGTATATGTAGTTTAGCAGGAACATTAATTATTTAAAAAGTTTCTTATATTCATCAAAGCATTACTGATCAAAAATATAGAAAAAAACAGCAATTTTGTGAACTACTATTACAAACTAGACCAGGGGTGCCCAAACCTTTGCTTATAAAGTGCCCAAAACCAAATTTGATTAAGGGATGTGGGCCAAATATATATACAAAACCAAATATATCACACCATATTACATTAAATTTACCATAGGTAATTTCGTAATTTATTCCCAAATATTTAAAAATAACTAGAAAATGTTGCTTTAAATCATATTAACAGATGGAGTATAATATTTTACATTTTAGAATAAACTTATTACAGTGAAAACATGAGCAATTACAGTTATAACACAATGGACTTCAATGCTGAAAACACAAGTCCACCTGCTCCTGCCTTTGCCTTGATTTGCTTGCCGTTGTCTTGTGCATTGATTTTTGTCAAGTGACAGTTTTTACATTTTAAAGTTCTTGATTTATTTACAACATTTAATTGAAACATTTATTTTCAATTGTTTTTTTGTAGTTTAGCAATAAAACAAACAAAGGGTTACGTAAAAATCGAAATAACAAAGGCATTTAAAGGCATTTGCCTTAACCACCTTCCCAACATTCTCTCTACCTTTTCAAATGGGATAGTGGGCTAAATTAAAGGTTACCATAGACCAACTTAGGCCTACTTTGGGCATCTCTGAACTAGGCCATAAAGTTTGTTGGGACAGCCTTGCTTAAATGTTGGATTTTTTAATAGGGTGAATGAATTAGTATATTTCTAACATGTGGTAACATATCTCTAACATAAAATTATTAAGAATGATTTGACGCTAGCTTGTTTTTTGTTTTACACCTTTTAGCACAATGCTAGCATATTTCAAGCATGTTTAAGCACTTGCTTGTTATCATATTGCTAGTTTGTTTGAAATATGCATGCTTTGCACATTTTATTAGATTAAATACTTGTTAAGAGGCAGAAGTTTTGTTTATTAAGGTTATTCCATGGTTATACTTTTTAGGGACCTGCTAACTAAATGCTGTAAGAAAATAATGACATCTAGTATATATTAGCACAATCAAATATTTTTTCAGGCTAAAAGGTGGCACAGTAGGTAGCACGTTCGCCTCACAGCAATAAGGTCGCTGGTTGGAGCCGTGGCTGGGTCAGTTGGCGTTTCTGTGTGGAGTTTGCATGTTCTCCCTGTGTTGGCGTGGGTTTCCTCCTGGTGCTCTGGTTTCTCCCACAAGTCCAATAACATGTACTATAGGTGAATTGGGTAGGCTAAATTGTCCGTGGTGTATGTGTGTGAATGAGTGTGTATGGATGTTTCCCAGAGATAGGTTGCAACTGGAAGAGGTGACTCTAGCTTAATAAAGGGACTAAGCTAAAAAGAAAATGAATGAATGAATGAATATTTATTCATTTGAATTGTCAGTAAATTGTTTAAAGTTTACATAAACCGTAAGTTGCTAAGACGTTAATTTCAGTATGTTGAAGTATTAAAATGGAGTATTGAGTAGGTGGCAGGGCTTTCTTTTGCAGGTTATTCACTTGTAGCAAGGTTAAAGGTGCAGTATGTAAGTTTGACACGCAGTGGTTGAGTTAGGTAATGCACACCTGGTTCAAAAAACACACACACAAGCACAGGTTGCTTGATTGACAACACCAATAGGAGTGAGCCTGACTATCAAGCCTAAAGGCTGATTTAAGTCTTATTCTTAATAAAAGCAATGACTTCTATTTCTCACAGCTAAATAACAGAATACTGACAATGATCACCTAAGGGAAACCTTGTGTGCTTTGTTCAGTGTTCAATGCTAACAATGTGAGTTTGAATGCAATTTTACGTGACATTTACTGCCATACTACTGAAAGCAGCAGCAGATAGTTCACCTCAGATCTTGAAAATAAAACTGTTTGAAATTTAACTTTAGGAATGTGACAACATATATAAGTGATTGTAAATGTAAAAAGTAGATTAATAAGTATTAATTAGATTATAGCAGCGCAGTAGATAGTGCTGTCGCCTCACAGCAAGAAGGTCGCTGGTTCGAACCTCGGCTCAGTTGGCGTTTCTGTGTGGAGTTTGCATGTTCCCCCTGCATTCGTGTGGGTTTCCTCCGGGTGCTCCGGTTTCCCCCACAGTCCAAAGACATGCGGTACAGGTGAATTGGGTATGCTAAATTGTCCGTAGTGTATGATTGTGTGTGTGGATATTTCCCAGAGATGGGTTGTGGCTGGAAGGGCATCCGCTGCGTAAAAACGTGGTGGATAAGTTGGCGGTTCATTCTGCTGTGGCGACCCCGGATTAATAAGCGACTGAGCCGACAAGAAAATGAATGAATGAATAAATAGATTATAAACCTTACCATTTCATGAGTGAGTGCACTATTATGTGCTTCTAAATGGATTTATTTAAATTTCTGTCATGTTTCTTTTGGTGCAAACAGCCTAATAGTTTATCGCTGCAAATCTCATTATGTAGTGTGTTGTTATGACACGGGGTTACAATCTAACCTCCTCACCTAATGTTTACGTACGTAATATTTATAATATTAGCTAATTAATAACCTCACGTGGGACTCTGAATCTGCGTCTTATTTCAGAGTCTGCTACTGTCCACCAGAGGTCACGTTTCGGTCTTTGCATGCTTTTAGAGCCTTTCTGACTGAATGAATGAACGTGCTGTTTTCCAACAAGGCTACCCGGGGTGCTGAAATATAATTGGCTAAAGTGGCATTGTACAGGTTAAAAAAAGACAGGCGTCACGTAATGCACATTTTCAAAGCAGAATATTTGACTTAAGCACTGTTTTTCAGATAAACAAGAATGTTCACTTGGCATGTTTCTGAAATATATGCAAACATATTATAAATTTTTATGCTTCAGAAGAGTCAAAAACTTACAGCACCTTTAAGAATGTGACTGAAGCTGTCAAACTGATGTCAACAGAGAAGGATGCCAATCAATTTGTTTCACGCAGACTCTAAATGTTATGCTTTGCAGGTGGAGAGGGGAAGTCCAAAGAGTTGTTTTGTGTTCATGGGAGAGTTGCTGTGTGAGGTGAACTGGGTTAGTGTATTGAGTGACTCTCTCAGCCCCCAGCTGAACCCCTCAACCCACACAATGGTGGTCTCCGTACTCCACCTCATGGTGTTTCTGGCCAAAGAGGATCTCAGTAAACCCGTGAGTGGCCATCTGTTTACCTTAAACATCAAGAGTGGTTAACCTGTCTGAGATTAATCTGTCCTGCTTTATTTCTTCAGGAGTCCTCTGTTCTCAGTCTGCTGGACCAGTCAGCTTCTCTGCCTTGGAATCTGGTGGATTTTTCTTCATATCAAAATGTCACGCGCTATGTCAGCACACATTACCCAGCGTCCCTTGTTCTCAGTCACGACACTTCTTCACAGCAGGTCGTCAGATTGCTCAGAATGGCTGCTGGATTTGAGCCGACCACACAAGTGTTGCATCACAAGGTTAGAGGACACATTGTTAAACGCACATCTCCACGGTTTATATGAACAAACTACATTTCACAGCATTTGTTGTCTTTGTTTGTGTCTGTTAGGACATGACTCTAAAGTGTCAAGCCTTCCTTCACCTCATGGTGCAGTTCCTGACCTCGCTGGATCAAAATGGGAACATCAGTCTGGCATCGCTAGAGACAGAAATGGAGAAATTACTGGAGAACATAGTCATTTTCAACCCACCTGGTGAGGAGAATGTGTCATTGCTATTTCACATTTGTTTTCTTGTCCCTCAGCAGACGATTCAAAGATATTGCAGAAGCATAATTTGTTGTTGTATGTTGCTGTGGATTTTAAAGGGATAAAAGCAGCAGTTTGCTACATCAAGACTTAGTCTGTGTTCACACTGCACACACTTCTGGTAGTTTTGTGAAGTAATTTAGAGGATGGAAAAAGCCAGGTGGTTTTGTTTATCTAGTGCCTAGCACATCAGTTGCCATAGTGATGACAAATGCATTGGCAAGAGTGAGGAAAGTAAATAAATGAGAAAATTCAGACATGTATCTAGACACATTACTTTTATACAAAAGCTGAAGTGCACCAGATAAATTTTCCTTGGCATGCTAGGGAACTCTCTGTGTTAATATTCTCAACATGGCCAAAATTGTTTGTACACTAATATTTTCATCAGCTGGAAAAGCTTCTTTTTTAGATTTATGAATTAGCTCTAATATATTCAGTATTATTAATTAGATATTAAATTTATACTTAGACTAATGTTTAATGGATTTTAATCTGAAACTGTATATTTCTTAACTGTCTGCCAAAACACTTAAATGTCTGCAGAAAATGTGGTATATAAAATTATAAATTACTTGTCCAGATTTTGCCAAAATGTAAAAAATTGTGTATTAAATTAGTGACCAAAACATTTATTTTATCTTATTTCTGAAGTTTGTCATTATTTTTTTTTGTTTTACTTATTTATAAAATTTAAAGGAATTCTATGCAATGTTATAATTTTTGCACAACTGTTTTAATATACAGTCACCGGCCACTTTATTAGGCCCACCTTACTAGTGCTGGGTTGGCTGGACCCCCTTTTGCCTTCAGAACTGCCTTAATCCTTCATGGCATAGATTCAACAAGGTACTGGAAATATTCCTCAGAGATTTTGCTTCATATTGACATGATAGCATCACACAGTTGCTGCAGATTTGTCGGCTACACATCCATGATGCAAATTTCTCACTCCACCACATCTCAAAGGTGCTCGATTGGATTGAGTTCTGGTGACTGGAGGTAATTTGAGTACAGTGAACTCATTGTTATGTTCAAGAAACCAGTCTGAGATTATTTGCGCTTTATGACATGGTGCGTTATCCTGCTGAAAATAACCATCAGAAGATGGGTACACTGTGGTCATAAAGGGATGGACATGGTCAGCAACAATACTAAGGTTGGCTGTGGCATTGATATGATGCTCAATTGGTACTAATGGACCCAAATGTGTGCCAAGAAATTATCCCCAACGCCATTACACCACCACCAACAGCAGCAGCCTAAATCATTGATACAAGGCAGGATGGGTTCATGCTTTCTCAAGGTTTGAGTGTTGTGCGTCCAGAGATGTTCTTCTGCATACCTCGGTTGTAACGAGTGGTTAATTGAGTTATTGTTGCCTTTCTATCAGTTTGAACCAGTCTGGCCATTCTCTACTGACCTCTGGCATCAACAAGGCCTTTGCACGCCCAGAACTGCTGCTGGATATTTTCCCTATATCAAACCATTCTCTTTAAATCCTAGAAATCGTTGTGCATGAAATCCCAGTAGATCAGCAGTTTCTGAAATATTCAGTCCAGCGCGTCTGGCACCAACAACCATTTTGATACTCGCTTTGAACTGCAGCAGATCGTCTTGAACATGTCTAAATGACTAAATGCTTTAAGTTGCTGCCATGTGGTTAGCTGATAAGAAACGAGCAGTTGGGCAGGTGTACCTAATAAAGTGGCCAGTTAGTGTATTTTAAACTGTAATTTATTTTTGCGATGTCAAACACAGTCTCGTAATCCATCAGAATACATTTCACCATTTAATTGTATATGAATACACTTACAGCTAAAGGGTTAAACACATGAAAGGTTTTTAAACGCACCTCAGCTAACTCGCATCTTATTTTAGAACAGCATTAACGAGGCTGCACTGATATCTCTGTTTATTTTGACTGAACCGCTCCTAATGTGTTTTCTCTCTCTGTCAGAGACGGACCTCCAGCAGCGACACATGGCCACCTGCAGTCTGTTTGCAGAGATGCTGACTCTGCTGAATGAGGCCGGTATCTCGACAGCAGAGGGTCTGGGCACTAAACTGCACTGCTGGGTGGAGAAGCGGGCTCGAGGGCCTCTGCTTCTGCCTTTGCTAACGGCTGCGTGCAGATGCCTGGCTTCAGTGCGTCACATGACACGCACCACCGAGGCCTGTATTCTCTCCTACTTCACCGATGGTAATAATAGCTCATACGGTTCTGGGTTTTGTCACAGGTTTTAAATGGTCTGTCTGCGTAAGCCTTTAGGAATAATTCCTCTCCCTAATCACAATGTTAGAACGGTGAATGCTAACATCGGGGCTGGAACAAAACAGTTGCATGGTTACAATGTGTGCAGTGAGTTTCGGTGTCTGATAGAGCTGTGTGTTCCTCTCAGGAGGATGTGTGGATCAGTACTCTGGATGGGGGCCCATCCTGGTGTCTCTTCAGGTTCCTGAACTGACTGTTGAGGACTTCATTCAGGAAAGCCTAAGTCTGGGCAGCTTCCTCACGCTGTACGTCTACATCCTCCAGAGGCTAAACCTGGAGCAAACCCTCCTCAATGAGAAGAAAACCTTAATGCTGCTCAATACGTGGATCAGTCAGGTGTTTCCCAGGTAAAATATGCTTTATCTTATACAGTGGCATGGTATTCTTTCACATGTTTAAACCAGAAACCTGAGGATTGCTAAGTTACTCATTCACAAATTCTTGTTTTATTTCTGAATGAATCGGCTGTTTTGAACAACTCACATTTATGAATGATTTAGTGAAGCATTCCTACTGACGATTTTTTATTTTTTTGTCAAACAATGTCACATTTATCTGTGACAGGCCTAAATCTGTTCTGAGTTTAAATGCAAAGCAAAATATGAATTAATGTTATTCGGAAAAAAACCTAAGTAAAACTGCGATGTCATTTTTATAAATATTGTACACCCCTTGTATCCAACTAAAGTAAAGTCATGCTGTTTGTGATTATAACCATTACCACTGTGATAGTCTCTAAAGTAAATATGAAAGAGATGCAGAAGACATTTAAAGTCTCCCTGCATTTGAAACAATTCAGGTATTGATGTAACGGAAGTGAAAAATTGTGCATTGCTTTGCATAGCCTAACGACACACAATGTGATGCTATGACATGTGCTCAAAGCTCTCTTTTCTAAGTTAAAGGGAGATTTTGTTCTAAACATTCGCAATGGCAACAAAATTTCTGCTGTAGAAAGCGTTTCTGTTCCATCACAGCAAAATAACAGCAAACTCATACAAAAGCTATAATAATGATCACTTCAGCTGCGGATCATGTGCTTTATTCAGTGTTAAATGGTACCAATGTGAGTCTAATTACTATTTTATGTGACAGCTAGAGAGGGTGCTTGCTGTAGACCCATTGGGCGAAGCTCACCTCCAATGAGAGGGAGCTTGAGCTTCAGCTCCTCCTCCTAAAAGCTGCTTTAATGCGTACACCTACCCGCCCCTAACTCCAATACCCAGTGACAAAACTTGTTGAAGAAATTCAACTCCCCCTTGCTGCAGCTCAGCTCTGAATATCCTGAATATGCTCCTGAATATGCCTTCGATCCTGATAATATAATAACTAGGAAACATACTCTCAGTGTCCACTTTATTAGGTATACCTTTCTAACTGCTCGTTAACACACATTTCTGATCAGCCAATCACATGGCAGCAACTCAATGCATTTAGGCATGTAGACATGGTCAAGACGATCTGCTGCAGTTCAAACCGAGCATCAGAATGGGGAAGAAGGGTGATTTAAGTGACTTTTAATGTAGCTTGGTTGTTGGTGCCAGACGGTCTAGTCTGAGTATTTCATAAACTGCTGATCTACTGGGATTTTCCTGCACAACCATCTCTAGGGTTTAAAGAGAATGGTCCAGAAAAGAGAAAAAGTTGGTGCCAGAGGTCAGAGGAGAATGGCTAGAAGATTGAGCTGATAGAAAAGCAACAGTAACTCAAATAACCACTTGTTACAACCAAGGTATGTAGAAGAGCATCTCTGAACACACAACACGCCCAACTTTGAGACAGATGGGCTACAGCAGCAGAAGACCACACCGGGTGCCACTCCTGTCAGCTAAAATCAAGAAACTGAGGCTACAATTCGAACTGGCTCACCAAAATTGGACAATATAAAATTTGGAAAAACATTGCCTGGTCCAAAAGCATGGATCCATCCTGCCTTAAATCAACGGTTCAGGCCGGTGGTGGTGTAATGGTGTGGGGGATATTTTCTTGGCACACTTTTGGGCCCATCAGTACCGATTGAGCATCGTGGCAATGCCACAGCCTTCCTGAGTATTCTTGCTGACCATGTCGATCCCTTTATGACCACAGTGTACCCATCTTCTGATGGCTACATCCAGCAGCATAATGCGCCATGTCATAAAGCACGAATCATCTCAGACTGGCTTCTTGAACATGACAACAAATCTGCAGCAACTATGATGTTATGATGTCAATATGGAGCAAAATCTTTAAGAAATATTTCCAGTACCTTGTTGAATCTATGCCACAAAGGATTAAGGCAGTTCGGAAGGCAAAAGTGGTCCTAACCAGTGCTAGTAAAGTGTACCTAATAAAGTGGCCGGTGAGTGTATTGTTTAAATATGAATGTTAGAACACTCAGTGCAAACCAGCAAATATCAGTCACTCAGGGTTTATTTTGCAATAATTAGATTATAGCCCTGTCCGTGTTGAATGGAGTGCAGTTCACCATTCTGCACTTCTGAATGATTTAAATGTTTCTGTCATGTTACATCTCGTGTGGAGAGCCAGGTTGCCTTTTGCTGGAATCATGTCACATCGCATGTTGCTAGGACAAGGTCCTAACCTAGTAGTTAAATCAGTTATCAAATATGGCTGCGAGCAGAAATGAAAAGGTTTACTGCTTGAATAATGCCTGTCGTGCACTCACCTGATTTCAAAATTCTTTTAAGAAAGTTGAATCTAATAAAGTTTATTGCCCGATTATAGGTTTAACAGATATTGCTCAAAGTTTAGAAATTTGTACTGCTGTGGATCTGATGTTAAGCATTACAGCTTACACTAATTTGGGTTTTTCCAAATAATTTCCCATATTTAATAAACACACTTTACACATTGTAAAAAACAGATGAAGTGGTGTCTTAGGTGGCTGATTTCTTTTTAATTTTCTCACAGGCCCAATGAGTTTAGTTCCAGACAGCCATTGTTAACATCATATCTAATAGGTGCTGTAAATCAATTTTCCGATGGCAGCCATCAGATCTCGTTGACTAGAAATAAAACTTCAGATGTCAGAATGTGTCTCTGAAGTTAATGAAACCATGCATGAAATCATGCCACATAATAGAAGTTTGTGCAACCTGCAGTTCACATCAAATATCTGTGAACACAACCAGGTTTAGTGCTGACATCCGTACTGTGCTGAATGTGTGTGTCGTGTGTTCCTGCAGTGGTCCAGCTGATGAGGCCAAGCTGTTTTTATGGTGGCATAAATTCTTGGAGCTTCTGCAAATCCAAGTGGACCAAGAGGATGCCTGCTCACTGGACACTCTCATTCTCACCTTAATGGCGTTTCAGAATCGTCTCGTTCAACTCGGAGAGGAAAGACTAAATTCCGGCATCCTGGGAGCCATTGGCCTTGGGAGGAAATCACCACTTTCTAACAGGTGAGAAAAGTTTGAGAGGTGGAAAACTGCTTGGACTATAGTTTTGGTTTTGTATCAATGTAGCAAGTAAAAGATGACAACTAGTTTCAGATCAAATACATGACAGGTGAATTGTGTGAAAAGTGTGCCTCACATCCTCTGCTCTTCCGTTGTTTGAGGTTTCGGGTTGTGGCGCGCAGCATGTCAGCCTTTCTGCTGGTTCAGGTGCCCTCAGAGAATCAGCTGCGTCTTCATCCCGGGACAGAGCTGCAGCTGTCAGCTAAAGCCCAGCAGGTGAGAGCTTCACAAACCGCTTCAAACCAAAAACTAAGTCAAGTTGTTGTGTATACACCGCAACATCTGACACAGTATGGAAAATATGTTTCCAGAAGATTTCTCCATTCTGTTTTGTAGATTATATTATTTTATAAAAATAAAAGTATTTTAAAATAGTTTGCACAGCCAAAAATGTTGATTGTTTAGTGTGGCTGAATGCATGTAAAACACATATTTAGCTTTTTTAAACGCAAAATTGTCTTTGCCATAAACAATCTTCTTTACTAAAGCATAATTTAAAGCACAGTCATTTATATAAGATTTACTGCTTGATGATAATAGAACTACAAATCATGATTACAGAAGGAACCAATGAAAGGGAATATATGAAGGTAATAAGAGGATTTAGTTTTATGTTGTTAAATGAGGAAAGTAATTTCTCATATTGGAATATATTTATTTAATTGTTTTTTAAATTTCATGAATACAGTTTTATGCAAAAGGAGAAGATCACAGAGAAATGGCATTCTGTTTCTAGAGAAAGTTAGATAGTGTTATGTTTTTCAGACAGAAATACGTAGTGTAGCAGTATTGAGATGTTTGAAATTAAATTGAAATTGAATATAGGCTATGCAAAGGTTTGGGCGCCCTCAAAAAGTAGCAGCATGGAACTTAAAAGAACTTACTAATGACCTAAAAACTAAGATTATTCATCAACATGAATTAGGTGAAGGATGCAAAAAGCTATCACAAAGGTTTAAAGTCTCCACCTCCAATCAGAAATATTGAAAACGGATTGCTACTGGAACAGTACTTGTGAAGGAAAGATGTGCTAGACCAAGAAAAATATCTGAAAGGCAAAGGCGAATAATGGTTAGAATGGTCATAGACAAACCACAGACCAACTCCAAAGAGCTCCAGGAATATCTTGCTGCTAAAAATGTCATTGTACATCATTCCACAGTTTAGCGCTCTCTTCACAAAGAACAGCTCAATGGTAGGCAATGCAGAAGAAGACTTTTCTGCCTCCTGTCTGCGAGAAGAGTTGTTTGAGGTATGCAAAGGCTCATCTGGTCAAGCCTGAATCATTTTGGAAAAATATACTGTGAACAGATGCCACAACCATAGGTGCTTTGCATGAAGCAAAAAACAAAACAAAACACAGCATTCCAGAAGAAGAACCTGCTCCCTACTGTAAAATATGGTGGAGGGTCCATCATGCTCTGCGGATAAGTGGCAAGCACAGGTACTGGAAACCTTGTCAGAGTTAAAGGTCGCATGGATTCCACCCAGTATCAGGAGATTGCGAAGAACAATGTTCAGGGATCAGTCAAGAGGCTGATGTTACAACATGGTTGGATGTTTCAGCAGGTCAATGATCCAAAGCAGGGTTCCAGATTTACCAAGGAATTCATGCTCAGGCACGATACATTTTAGAATGGCCATCCTAGTCCCCAGACTTGAACATCACTGAAAATCTATAAATTGATTTGAAAAGTGTCGTTTTCACTCGGCAGCCATCAAACCTGACTGAACTGGAGAAATTTTGTCAGAATGGTACAAAATGCCTTCAGCAAGACTTCAGGCACTTATCCTTGGCTGTAAGAAGCATCTACAGGCTGGTATTTCAGCAAAAGGTGGCTCTACAAAAGATTGATGTCATTATTCTGTTGGGGTGCCAAATTTTTTCATCTATCTGTTTTTGTTAAGACTTAAATTGCATTGTATCTGTTGTTTAAATAAATGTTGTCAGAGCTAAAATGTTGCTTTTCCCCTAGGGCATATAATATATCTAAATGAAATGGCTGATTTGAAAGGCTAGCAGGGTATGGCTTGCAATTGTAAAAATGATCAGGGGTGGCCAAACTTTTGCGTAAACCTGTATTTATTTTTTCCTGAAAACAAGGACTTGTAGGTGTTTAAATGGGGTTATATTTTACATATTGTGGACTTTATTAAAGTTGAAGGAATTTCACTGAGTGATGCTATTGTACAGTATGTTGAATGTTTGCTCTCTGTCTTCAGGCCTTGTCTGCACTGGAGGCGATGGCCAGTAATAAGCAGTATTCAGAGCTGCATGTGTCTGTGAACCAGGCCTGTCAGTTCATCAAGTACCCGAATCACTGTCTGCGAGACGCCAACACTCTTCTCACTCTGCTGGTCAATGCACTCTACACTGACCTTCATTACCTGGACATCATCCGTTAGCCAGAAGCTCACTTATAAAAGTCCAGTCAGTTATCCTGCTGCTGTAAAGACCTGGGAGACTCCTGAAGAACAGCTCTGACTGCAGATAACATGAGGATGGAGACCTCTTGAGGAGCAACGCAGTCAGATTTAAGCTTTCGTTTTCTGGAAAAAGACAGATTAGGGAGGTACGTGTTCAAATCATGGTTTTAGAGACTGGGGCAGTGATCTTTTGTTATATATATATATATTTAAAATCAGTCCAGTTTTCTCTGATGAAGAATTAATGTCTTCTTTGATATTTCTTCCAACAAAAATGAGAAGGTCTTCAGTCTTTCAGAGTAGAATTTACACAGTTGATGGTCTCAGAATAATATTGTAGTAATTTACATCATTTATTTTAGAGTGGTGAGCATTTTATGACGCTCATATGAGGACGTTTTAGAGCTTGGATGTAATGCCTGATGATGATAATCCACTGAATCACAATCACCTTGATTTGTGTTCACACCTAAAAGAGATTCTGCTCAACTTATACTACACTACAAAAAGGCTTAACCTTACTTTGTGTTTTCTTTTGCTTCTAGACCAAATATCTAAAGATTCTTATTAACACTTTATAACAACTACACACTATAAATAATTTATTAAGCATCAGCTAATAGTGAATTTATTATCTGTTAAGCATTAACTCTACATTAATAGATGTTAGTAAGCAGTTTATAACTGCAGATACAAATGCTCTATTCTTGACGTAGAACTACATATATAATGTGCTTAATGATTGTATTTTCATACTTTGTTAATTATTATTATTTAATTACTAAATTAAGTGTTGCATCATTTATAAACCAGTTATTTGAGTGTGGTTGCTGGTTTTTAAAGATTATTCAGAATGACTAAATGATTAATAAACTCTTTAAATGAACATTTATGTATCTTATTATTCAGCCATAAATTAATAGTAATTTCTCTGTTAAAAAATGCTTTATTAACTAGACGTTGTCTTGTTTTGTGACCTAATCTTAAGTGAGGACTATTTATGCTTTATAAATCCTTCATAAATGACAGTTAAAGGCTCAGTTATATTCTAAACAGGAAAAAAGAACATAAACAACTTCATTCATTTGAAGACACACAGATAAAACCATCGAATGAAAAATAAATATTTGTAATCTTAACTAAAATAAATTGACTCTGCAGTTTAACCATCGCTAAATAGCAATGAAATGTATCATAATATATTGTTAAACAATCATATTGTTGTTGTTTTATCGAAGTTTACGTAGTATTTTGACTCCTGTTATTCCATAAATGTTTAAACTTTACAGTAATTTTACTTTTTAGATAAGATTGCAAAGACGTACTGTTTATTTGATACTGAGCCTTTATAAATCACTAATAAATGACGATTAAAGCATAAACAGTCCTCACTTTAGATTAAGTCACAAAACTGGATGAAGTTGAGTAATGTAGCATTTATTTACAGAAACAATGAACTATTAGTGCATGCCTGAATAATAATATATAAATTTTGATTTCAATAGTTTATTAATCATTTACTAACTCATTCTGAATTATCTAAAAAAAAACTACAAAAATAATGTGACACTTAATTTAGTCATGAAAATGTCATCAATAACAAAGTATGAAAGAACAATTATTAAGCACATTATACATGTGCTTAAAAGTCAAGAATAGAGCATTTGTAAATGCAGTTAAACACTGCTTACTAACATCTATTAATGTAGAATTAATGCTTAAATAATGAATTCATTATTTGCTAATGCTTAATAGATGATTCACAGTGTGGTTTATTGTTATCAAAACAAGCTACATAATCTAAATGGGGTGAGGCAAATAATATTGTTTAAGATTCAAAGATTTTTTGACTTGCTCTATTGGCAGATTCTTTTATGTCTTGAAAATGCTTCTTGATTTATATTTGGACTACTCTAAGTAGGAAAAGTATTTTTGCAGTGTAAATATATAGTTAAAATATTTGTTTTTATGATGTGCTTTTTAAAAAGTACATTTCTTTATGAGCTAGTGCCAAAAAAAAAATGACTGGACAATTTCAGTGTGGAGAAGTAATGTTTGAGAGGCTCATCCTTCGTAGTGGCAATTTCTTTTTACCATTATTATTATTATTATTATTTGTATGGAGGTGGCCAAAATTAACCAAGTAAAGTGAACTGCTTCAGCATGTGCTCTGCCTGATAAGTGCACTTAGCTTTTAAATACAGAATTGCTCCCTTAAAGAATGGTCACAGTTTTGCCATCACACATTCCTTTCCACAAAAAAAGAAAGCTCTATTTCCGTTATTAGATTATGTAGGCAAATGAGAATGTGACTGCTGCTATATTTGCTTTGATATATTGAAATTATTTTAGAATTACAAATTATTTGAATGGGAGTAAATCTTTTTCTGTGGTACAATCACCAGCATGGTATTTTCATATTTGGTTGTATTTTTTTATTGGCTTGAGATCAGCGCATTGGAGGATTTACTGCATGCTTTTATACTCTATACACTTCAAAATCACACCATTCAAAATAACACAATGTTATAATCATAATGGCATAGATCCTGCCCAGTCCTCATAAACCATCATCTAATCACAAAACTAAATTAGCATCATGTGCATATTATCGTCCATATTGTCATGTTGTTGAGTTTAATGAGAATTAGTGCTGTTAAATGATTAATCGCAACTAATTGCATACAAAATAAGCTTGTGTTTACATAATAATCTTGTGTGCTGTGAATATGTATGTATATGTTATCACACACATTCATGTATATGTATATACCTGTATAGAAACTAACAAAATTATATATAAATGTTTAAATATGTGAATATATAAGTATATGCATGTATGTGTGTGCATTTATATATGCATAATAAATAAACAGTACTAAGCATATTATTTAAATGCTTATATTGTTTTGTTATGTGATTAGTCAGCACTAATGTCAAATACTATAAAACCGCTTATAAACAAGCACAACTGTTGAAAAACCAGGACTCTTGTATAAAATGTACAATGAAATAATGTTGTATAGAACATGACTTGCCTTAAAATGTGTTTTCCCCCTTGTGCCATGTTTGATCTTCTGCGTCATTATTTGTCATGTCAATGATAATCAAGCTCAATAATATCTAAAATCCAAGAAAGTGTGTGTGAGTCTGTGACCTCCTTGTGCAAAGTTGTTTGAACAGCACTGAATACAGGGGTAAATGGGAATTGTTGATTTGAGAATTGAGATTTAAACCTTGTTTTCTGAATTAAGTATGTCTAAAGCACAATGTTCTCTTTTTAGTCTTGATTCTAATACAAACCCACTGTGTTCAGTGTAGTCAGACTACAAATTCCTTACGAGATCTGTTGTTGATAAAGGCTAAATTTTTATTAAACTCAACAAAATTTATTGATAGATCTATTGCAATGTATTTTAAGCTATAATTTCAAAGGAAATACGGCCAAGAATTAATATTAACCTCTGCATAAATGGATGATATTTAATAAAGTGTATTTCTTTCACTCCCAAAAAAATACCGTTGAGCTGAGTGATGATACACGATTCAGCAGTCTAAACGTGTTTGTTGAAACGTGCATCAAATTTCACTATAAACACGATAAATTAACAAAAGATACAATAAAACTTACGTTATGCCTCTTGGGGGTAGAGCTAAATAAATTTATAATCCATATACCCTACATTTTGCATTCTGTTAAGCATGTGGCTCATGCAGTTGTTGTTTAGTAGACCATAGCACATCTGCATCTCCTATAGTAAAAATTAAATTCCCACTTAAATAAATGTAAAAAATAAGTCAGGAAAAAAGTCATTAATCTTAAAAATGGGGTGTACAGTATGTGGAAGGACTTTTAGTTTTTCAATAACCTGAGTCAAGTGCTTCCGGTGAACTGTACGCAGTTATAAAATTGGTACGTTTAGGGTCAGTTTTCTTTAAATCTCCACTGCCTGATTTATATAAGCGATAAAGATGATCTCAGATTGTACAAAAAGCACTGCATGTCTTTAAAATATAATCATTACCAGTGTTTCCTCTAGGATTTTTTTCAGCTGTGGCGGCAGGCCTTTTTTACACAGATCTACCAACTACCTGTGACGTTATTTCAATGACAAATGTCATGAGCGCAGTATTAAAAGTCGAGATCACATTTATGTAATAGCCTACAAGCATGTGAATCTCTTTTCTTGCGCGCCGATTTCCTCTGCTCATGCACAAAACTTCTTGCACGCCCCCTCAAATATAAGCAGCTTCCAGAGCGTGCAGATCTTCTTGTGCGCTCTTAAATAAAATCTGCTGAAGTGCGATTTAGTGCGTTTATGTTACGAGTATGTCTCCAGCATTTATTAGATTTGCTAGGAATATTTATAAATTTCTCCAATAGACCTACAGAGTAGCATTAATGCATCCTGAAGTAAAGTGAAACGACTATACGTCGTGTTTGAAAACACAACGTAAAGGGTTAAACAAATGACGCACAGCACTACTACGGTTACAGAAAAAAATGCGCTATTATAATTCACTTACCCTTTAATATGTTTTATAACCCGCTATTAAAAAAATTTAATGTTTTGAATGAGATGCTGTAATGTAGCCGTGGCAGGATCAATTTTTGCGTTGCACCCCCCCATGGAAGAATGAATGTAGCGGAAACTATGATTTATTTTACCCCAGTATATTCAATGGTGTTTCTGCGCTAGTCTGCTGATCCTGACGGGCGTGTAAACGGCTTTTCATTTCGTTTTATGCTTGAACAACTAAATGAATGTTGAAGTCAATTTAATTGTTTGTATTTTAATTACATTAAAACATTGATGCTGTAAAAGGAGCCGTATAAAATGAAAAAAAATCCCATTAACCGTTCACCGACGTTCATCAGTATGCAAAAAACCGTAGCTGTACCGTATAACTAAGGGAGTAAAATGATCATTGTTGACTCACTGGAAACATTGTGGCTTATCAAACACTGCTTGACGTCTGCATGTTAATGATCCTGTTGGCCTCATTTCAGTCTGCGTTTGGGCTAGTGATCTGAGGATGCGGTTGTTCTTCAGGTCGGGATAGCACAGAACCTGACCTAAAGTTAATCCAAATTAGGGCTGCACGATATTGAAAAAAAAAATGAGCATTGCCATATTTTGTTACCTTCTAAATGTATGTTGCAGTATGAAAACAATTCCATCAGATGATTTGATTTTGTATGGGAGCTAATCTGCATAAAATCTAAATATCAATCTACAAGCGTAGAATGAATACAATAAAGTAAAAGATACTATAAACAGTGTCTTATCATTTTCCAAGTCTAACAGTTTTCAAGTGCAGCAAATAAATAATAAAAAATACAATAAAACTCACTTATTAAAGTTACAAATGGTCTTTATACCTGAATGCTTTTAAAATTTTAATACAGTCAACAGACCTCAAAAACATCTTGCAATGTGACTTGCAAATGATCACATTGCGATATCGATGCTGAAACGATATACTGTACAGCCCTAATCCTAAATCTAAGGGCATGTCCCGTGAGTCACGCAACAGTCTGCTTTGTGTTTTGTGATTGAAAACACAAAGATCTTTTGATCTTTTATCCACCAGAGTTTTACACTCGTGTTATTTACATAAGAATGAGGAAACAATAGTGT